GGTTGCATGTTATTTTCATAAAGACAATTTTTTTATCACTTCTGGTACTTGTTACTCAAGCTTAGATCAAATCATTCTTTCGGCAAAATAAGCTTGTTACTTCATTAGAACGTGATGAAATTAAAGATTTCTTACTGTTGTGCAATACACTGTGCTGTTGTGCAATACTTAGTAAATCTGTCGTCAGACTATAAACAAATAAAGTTCAATTAATTCCCAGTCATATTAGAAATTTATAAAAATGTAAAGGGAGCTTGCATCAATAGATATAAACAATTCACTTAAGTTTCATGAGAATTGCTAACAGCATTTTTGAGCTATTGTCCGAAAACTGGAAAATCACCCCTTTTTTAATGAATAAAACCCCATCACTCAGAAATGTAAATGGTAAAATTTATAAAATTCTAAACGGAGCTTACATCAATATAGATATAAACAATTCACCAAAGTTTCATACAAACTGCTGAAAGCATTTTTGATTTTTGTCCGAAACTGGAAAATCCCCCCTTTTTTCATGAATAAAACCCTGAAACTGAGAAATGTAAAATCTAAAATATATAAAAATCAAAAGGGAACTCATGTCAATAGATATAAACAATTCACCACAATTTCTTGCAAGTTGGTGAAAGCTTTTATTGTCCGAAAACTGGAAAATCCCCCTTATTTTAATGAATAAAACCCCATAACTCAGAAAAGTAAAATCTAAAATTTATAAAAAAACGAAAGGGAGCTCATTTCAATAGATATAAACAATTCACCAAAGTTTTATGCAAATTGGTTAAAGCGGTTTTGAGTTAATGTCCGACATGTTGACGACGGACAGACAGACGGACAACGGTATACCATGGTATGTCCCGTAGACGGGCGTATAAAAATGACAGGGTGTCATACCACACCAAAACCTTCTGAAGGAAACACCAAGTTAGCAAACAAATTTTTTTTTCATTGACAACCCTGTATAACCTTGCAGCAGCATCGAGTCTACATGCATTAGGGAGCTACCATTTGATTTTTATGGGGGGGCTAGGATGAAATTTGAAAAAAATAGGCAGGACAGGAGTTTTGAGTAAAAAAAAAGGCAGGATGAGACACTTGCAAAAAAAAAAAGTCAGGATGACAATTTAGGTAAAAAAAAGTCAGGATAAACTTTAAAAAAAAAAGGCAGGACCGGATAGAGTTAATAATACGTCCCGTAAACGGGCGTATAAAAATGAAAAGGCAGGACAGAGATTACAACTAAAAAAAAATGCAGGACAAAATTTTTCATCCTAGACCCCCATAAAAATCAAATGGTAGCTCCCTTACCTTGTATATTTCATGTACATTGAACTTAAAAATATGTGGTCATTGTCAAAGTTAGTTATGTCAGTTATAATTTACACATTTACTGAAACATGCCAGAGAAGTGCATGTACAAACTTTTGAATTTGATCTGCAAACTGGGAAAGCTATCCTTTTTTATGAATAAAATTCCACAATTTATTAAATTGAAAGGGAGCTTGCATCAATTGATATATATAAACAATTAACCAAAGTTTCATGACAAATGACAACTGCTTAAAGCATTTTCAAGTTAATGTCCGAAAACATGGAAATCCCCCTTTTTGAATGAATAAACCCCTTACATTGTAACTGGATAATGTAAATTCTAAAAAATTCCAAAGCAATCTAAAGGGAGCTCACATCAATACATGAATACAATCCCATATAACTCTGAAACGGGAAACCTAAAATTTATAAAATAATCAATTCACAACAGTTTCATGCAAATTGGTGAAAGCGTTGAAGATTTAGTGAACAAAGCATTTTTAGAGTTAATGGGCAAACACCCTCTGAAGGAAACACTATAAGGGAGCTTCCTTTCCATTTTTATGGGGGGAAAAGGGGGGGGCTAGGATGAAAAATTTTGTCCTGCATTTTTTTTTTTCAGTTCGAGATGTAATCTGTCCTGCCTTTTTTCTATTAGTTTATCCCGACTTGTTTTTACATAATTTGTCATCCTGCCTTTTTTTTCATATTGTCTCATCCTGCCTTTTTTTTCAAATTTCATCCTAGACCCCCACCCCCTAAAATCAAATGGTAGCTCCCTAAGTTAGCAAGGGAAGCAAATGCTCTTTAAATTATGCATGTTTCAAAAATTGGGGAAAAATTAAACAGAGAAATTGAGTCTTTTTATATTCATTAAATAATGACTAATGTAGACTTACCTTCTAATTCTATAAAAAAAAATTCACAACTACTGAACAGGAACAATCATGGTACTTTTTTGTCTATGAAACTACACTATGACATCTGATCTTCAAAACCTACAAACAGACACAGAAATATCATCAAATAGTGTAATATAATATTGATTGCACCTTGTATGGATAGTTCCGACACGTGTTACATGGGGAGCCCGTTTGTTTACAAATAATAATGTCACGTGATCACGCACTGACCGTCACAAATTTTTATCCTCCGCCATTATTCATTACACAATATTACTGCACTTACACGGACATGCAATGGGAATGTGCACGGTTATCAAAAACTACAAAAAAATTGCATGTACAGTTAATGAAGAAGTTATTTCATCAAATAGATAAGATTTTCGCTCATGACACAAATCGACTGGGTGTCGTCGCCATCGGGGATAATTGATAAATGGGATTAAATTGACCGCCAAGAAGATGTAGAGAACCACCTCTGGAGAACCTTAACATTAATAAGTAATACTCACCAAAGTTTCTCTATAATTAACGCTATTTTCTGTTGGAAAATTTCAGAAAGATGCTGATAAACTTATTTTGTGACACAGATTATTTTCTTGTTTTGGCGCGAAATATATTCTTACTCTTAATGCTTGACGTAACAAAATTTGTATAGAATTATATTTAACTAAAGCTCAGTGTAAATATGCAGAAGCATGACAATACATTAATGATAAAATGTGTAAATATTTCTGTAAAAGAATATAATTTTACTTTACCAGTATACTTCACTTAGAATTACATTTGAGCGCAAGAAAATCTCTATGTGATTCGGCTGAAGGTTACCTCGGCTGAATCCCGGGGTCGAAGTTCAACATATCAACGGAAATTTTTGCGTGTGCTTGATCGAGGCCACAGTTATTCAACCAATCGGGGAATGTTTACTTGGGGCATACATCTATTTTTACTGCAGGTTTCGACATGTTTAAATCGGGATTATAGAAAAATGGAATGTTGTTGGTAGATACAAAACAGAAAATGATGAACACTTTTAGCAAAAGATAAATTGGATCGGGGGTCTGTGAATTCACATTATTTGTACAACTCTCCTTACTCTTGGGAAGCGTGTGCTTTACATCGAGGCTTGCGTTGCTTTACATCGAGGCTTGCATTGCTTTACATCGACGCCATAGTAGTTCAACCAATCGGGGAATGTTTATTTGGGGCATACATCTATTTTTACTGCAGGTTTTGGCATATTTTAATCGAAATTAGAGAAAAATGGAATGATGTTAGGAGATATAAAACAGAAAATGATAAATATTTTTAGCAAAAGATGAATTGGATCGGGGTTCTGTGTATTCACATTATTTGTACAACTCTCCTTACTGATGGCAAAAAATGGAATTTCCGTGACCTAAATGGTTCGCGAAAATTAATATTTTTATATATATATAGTAAATAGTGTATAATGGAAATGGACTTCAATGTTTTTTTTGTGTATTTTACATTGTATTTTGCAAGATTTTAAATATTGACCGTCAATATATATATACATAAATAGAAACATTGTCCATATACTTAAATACCCTTTGAATCACGTGAAAGTAATAACCAATAAAAAAAAAGAAGAATGTTACACCATATGTAATATTTTTGGATATCAACCTGCATATCTGTAGAATAATCTGGCGGCAGTCATCGACTCCAATCACACAATTGTGAAACCTGTTGAATTTAAAGACTGAATTTCAATTTGCGACAGTTTAATTTATGTTTGGAATGCATTTTTAAACACGTAATTGTTTAAGAACTGTAGAGGTTTTTAAATATCAATATTCATATATTTATAAAAATGTATACAAGCAAAAGTGGTCGAGATTCATAGCATTAAAAGAGGGACGAAAGATACCAGAGGTAATTTTTATCAATTATGTACTTTTGAAGAGGTCAATACGTCATATATATAGCTGTTCAGATTATATTGACCGAGGACGAAGTCTGATGTTCAATATAATCTAACGTATTGACTGAATGAAAGTCCTTAATTTATATATTACATATTTATTTCTATTCCGTTATATTTGGAATTTCCCTATTCTATTTCTATCTTTAGACTTGTGGTACAAGTTTGGCTAGTATGTAAATCAGAAGTGGTCTGATGTTACTGTTGTTTTCTGCACGAATATTTCGAGGGCGGTAGTACGGGTGGGGTTTTATAGGCATATATAAGTCCTGATTACGTTTGGTTATTATCGATGTGCTCCAGTAACTTTGATAGACGAAGTTAACGTTAAGCTCTGCATAATATGTCCGAGGAAGGCTCCGACCATGATGAATGCCGTGCTACTACTCAACATGCTGAAAATAGTAACGAAACAGAGTTAAGTACGGACGGGGCTATTTCGCTTTTCACTTCAGCTTTAAACAATGCTTTAGAGAAGCAAAAACATTCCTTGATTAATCATTTCGAAGCTCGTTTAGGAAAAAGTGTTAAAGCAACCGGTGTCGACCAACCAGAATTTGTATTCCAAAGTGAGGGAATTAAAGTGCAACATTCGTTTAATACCGAGCGTCTAGAGAGGCTTGCTGCCGTTGAAAGTTGTATAAAGCTTGGAAACGCTACCGAAGTTAGTGAAATTATTACCCAGGAAAAGGAAATCATCCGTAAGCGTAACAAAATTCTAAAGATAGCCGACAAGCATGGATGGGACACGGTTAAAGAGTACTTGGATAGTCCGTTGGCCGACAATAAAGAAGATGCTAGTGATTTGCGTGCTGCTATTTCCAGGGCTTCTCGTAAAATGAAGTTCCAAGCCGTACAGTAAACCAGAATCTTCCAATAGTGGTTCCGGAAAAGGAGAATTCAATTCCAGGAGTTTTTTTTCGTGGCCTTGGCCAAGTCAGTGATACCGAGTTCTCCAAAGCAGGCAAGTCAGAAAGTTGCAAGTGTTTCTATTGTAACCAGCCCGGGCACTTTGCAAGGAACTGCCCCGAAAAAAGGATTCCTACAGCGACAGTTGGTGCACCAAAGTTCCAGGAACAGAACACAGGAAAGACCCAGTAACAAAACAGATACAGACATAGATGAAGTTGAGTATTGTTTTCAATTTGTTAACAAGTATGAGAAAAAATATTGTCAAAATCTTATAAATGTGAAAGGAAATTTAAGAAAACATGCATTGTTTTGGAAAAATGTACTTAACGCTAATGATTTTATAATGAATGTTATTAATTTTGGTTATAGAATTCCTTTTCTGAGTGAACCACCGACTATTTTTCTAAGTAATAATAGATCCGCGTTAAAACACTCAGAATTTGTGGAAAATTCTATTGAAGAACTTTTAACTAAAGAATGTATAAAAGAAGTAAATCGACCATTTGTCGTTAATCCACTTACTGTGTCGGTAAATAGTACGGGTAAAGAAAGATTAGTCTTAGATTTGAGACATGTTAATAAATTTGTCGAGAAACAAAAAGTTAAATTTGAAGGGGTTAAAGAAGCTATGACATTTGTAAATTTTAGCGGTTTTGGGTTTAAATTTGATTTAAAGTCTGGTTATCACCATATAGAAATTCACCCTGATCATCATAAATATTTAGGATTTTCTTGGCAATATGGTGATACAGTGCGTTATTTTAAAAACCTATGAACTTTTTTACAAAAGGTTCACAAGAAAAGAGTATATTTGCACAGAGACCTTTTAACAGTAATGTATATGTTTTGTTGTTGGATTTCTCGAAGTATTGAGATTTATGCATTGAATGTTGTATACAGACTGTAATTGATTTAGTTTTCTGCGATGGTTATTTGCCGCAGTTATCAGATATGAGACTATATTTGTAAGTATGTTAAATTTAACATTGTGATGTTTTAACTGCAACAATTAGATATGTCATTGTTAACATTGTTAATTAATTGTTTATGAATACAGTGAGGGTTAATGCCACTGTATATATATAAGTATATGACTTTTTTAGATACTGTGAGATTGAATGCCACAGTAAGTGTGCGAGGAAAATGCCGCATTCATTTATTTGCGAGGAAAATGCCGCACTCATTTGTTTGCGAGGGAAATGCCGCATTCATTTGTTTGCGAGGGAAATGCCGCATTTATTTGTTTGCGAGGGAAATGCCGCACTGGGTTGTTTGCGAGGGAAATGCCGCATTCATTTATAGTAGTAATGTTAATTATATTTACTTTGTTTATAGTTATTACTTGGTATTCATTATTATATTTATTTTACAGATCAATGGAAACAATTTGAGTGTTATGCCAATGATTCGAGATTTGCCAGTATCATACGAGATTTACCCTCTTTTGTCGAATCGTCTAGATCAAATTCTACAATTAAGAAATACAAGTGCTATTTTAAAAAGTTTGAAAAATGGTGTGTTTCATGTTAACTTGAGTGTTTACCAGCGACAACTACTACGATTTCTATGTATATAGGTGGACTCATTCAACAGGGATCCAGTGTTGCGATTTTAGATGCAAGTTTTTATTCAATAAAATGGTTTCATGACTTTAATTTCCAACATAATCCTTGTTCAGACAAATTCCTTGGTCTTATTTATGAAGGAGGAAGGAGATTGCTAAGTAAATCTATCAAAAAAAAAAAAAAGAACCTATTACGTCAGATATATTAAGGAAAATTGTTTTGAAGTTCGGAGATCATAATAATCTCAAAAAATTGCGTGTAGTAGTATTATTTCTGTTAGGATTTTCTGGATTTTTGAGGTATAGTGAATTGGCTAACATTAAGATGAATAATATTGAGTTTCAAGTCAGTCATGTTAAAATTCGCATTGATAAAAGCAAAACTGATTTATACAGAAGGGGTAATTCTGTTGTTATAGCTGCTACAGGTACAGATTTATGTCCAGTTTTTTGGTTAAATAAGTATATCAATTTAGCTGAATTGAGCAAAAATTCTGATAGCTATATTTTCAGAGCACTGTCTTTTATGAAATTGAAAGATGTTTATAAATTATGTAATATAAATAGTCCATTGTCCTATACCAGAGCGAGAGAAATTTTGTTAGAGAGTTTATCAGATATTGGTTTAGATAAGCTTAAGTTTGGGCTTCATAGTTTGAGAAGTGGTGGCGCTTCTACGGGGGCTAATAGAGGAGTCTCTGATAGGTTACTTAAAGTCCACGGTAGATGGGCTTCGGATAAAGCCAAAGATGGGTATATTAAAGACCATTTAAAATCTCAAATGGCTGTTTCCTTGAATCTTGGCATATAGTTCTCAAATTATTTATTCCTTTGTTTTATCGAAGTTACTGCGAGCAAACAAACCTAAATTATGACTTGTCTCTTATTTAGCCATGTATTTAGTATAGAAATGTTTTAAATTCGGACGAATTCATGAGGGAGAATTTAAATTTATTTCTATTCCGTTATATTTGGAATTTCCCTATTCTATTTCTATCTTTAGACTTGTGGTACAAGTTTGGCTAGTATGTAAATCAGAAGTGGTCTGATGTTACTGTTGTTTTCTGCACGAATATTTCGAGGGCGGTAGTACGGGTGGGGTTTTATAGGCATATATAAGTCCTGATTACGTTTGGTTATTATCGATGTGCTCCAGTAACTTTGATAGACGAAGTTAACGTTAAGCTCTGCATAATATATTACAGTTATGTTTGTATTGATATGTATTTAGAGGACATTGTGAATGTATATAGATGGAATTGTGGTATATTTTTGTAATTTGTAAAATGTTTACAAGATATTAAATGTTGTTTCGCTGAGAAAATAAGAAAGTTACTGCGAGCAAACAAACCTAAATTATGACTTGTCTCTTATTTAGCCATGTATTTAGAATAGAAATGTTTTAAATTCGGACGAATTCATGAGGGAGAATTTAAAAGGAAATAGTGTATAATGGAAATGGACTTTAATGTTTTTTTTGTGTATTTTACATTGTATTTTGCAAGATTTTAAATATTGACCGTCAATATATATATACATAAATAGAAACATTGTCCATATACTTAAATACCCTTTGAATCACGTGAAAGTAATAACCAATAAAAAAAAAAGAAGAATGCTACCATATGTAATATTTTTGGATATCAACCTGCATATCTGTAGAATAATCTGGCGGCAGTCATCGACTCCTTTCACACAATTGTGAAACCTGTTGAATTTAAAGACTGAATTTCAATTTGCGACAGTTTAATTTATGTTTGGAATGCATTTTTAAACACGTAATTGTTTAAGAACTGTAGAGGTTTTTAAATATCAATATTCATATATTTATAAAAATGTATACAAGCAAAAGTGGTCCAGATTCATAGCATTAAAAGAGGGACGAAAGATACCAGAGGGACAGTCAAACTCATAGATTGAAAATAAACTGACAACGCCATGGCTAAAAATAAAAAGACAAACAGACAAATAATAGTACAGAAGACACAACATAGAAAACTAAAGGCTAAGCAACACGAACCCCACCAAAAACTGGGGGTGATCTCAGGTGCTAATTGGGATCACAATTACGGAATATCTAGACAATAGGTTGTGAAGTATAGTAAGAACGCTTATGAAAACTGTAATAAATTGAGTGACAATAATACGACGCTCTTTCTTCGCTTTGTAAACATTCCAATAAAACATGGGGTGCACGTGCATGTCATTACAATGAAAATTTCTACCTCATCTGAATTTAAAACGCTAGAGATCGAAATGGACATTTTGTGTTGGTGTTGCTCGCTGGTAAATTAAATAAAATCATTCTAAAACTTCAACATGTAAATGTTAATTCATAATCGTAAACGGTAGGTTTTTTATTAGAACGTTTTTGCTTTATCAAATCCAATGGCTGCCTTTAGAACGTGTCTTATAGGTCCACTTCGAAGAACAAAAGGTATGAATTTTCGTATTAAATCGAAATAATTTTATCATGTCATGCTCCCTTCTCATTTTAACAACCTCCATCAGGAACGCTCAAAACCAAAAAATTGAAAAGCAATGATGTATAAAACCTCAAGTGAACACGTGAGGAGCTACAATGTATATGACCAAAAAAGGACATAAGAAATAGATAAATTCATCTGAGTTAAACTTTCCCTTAGGGAGTTGGAACCTAGTTTTTAAAATAATTTATTAATTTATCATCAGAGAATTCAAGAAAAAGTTTCAAAGTTATTATTTTTTTAATGTTTTGTCTCATTTAATTAGTAAACTGTCACATTTTTCATATTCGCAATAGCAAGATTTACAAAAACTTATTGATGAGATAATGAGTCAAACTACTGAATAGCATGATGTAGGTGATGCTCATGCTGTGACTCATTTCACAAAAAGCTTACGAGAAAAATTCTCGTGAGTCATGGACATTTCAGTATAACTTGCGAACACTTTTTCTCGTAAGATTTAATGTGAAAACAGGTCCAATAGAGCAACATCCATGTCGAGACATTCGAATAAAATCTGAATATCTTCAATATATGCTGGAAAATGATCTGGTTGAGCTTAGTGAAAATAAAAGTCACTTTGCCTTTAGTTCCAAACATGATAAGTCCTACAGATTCGTCACGTTACAGATGGATTTTTTGGCAAATCAAAACTTTGACAAAATAAATCTTATCCCATCTGTAGGATTTATATTTGCATATTTGAAATAAAGAAGGAAAAATGAGCAAGTAAATTTTGAGAGGTTATTTGCAAATTTCTTAGACTGATCAAGGATTTGTCTTACAATACAAATACTTGGACTGATGGTTCCATAAAAGTGTCTGGTTTTGTAACTTCAAATAGTTTATATAAAGTAATGCCCAAAACGAACCTTGCTGTCACATCCAAAAAAAACTTTCAAAATAATCAAATGTTTAAATGGTCGTTCAGGCTATATTGATGATGTCTTCATTTACACTGATATTTAGGAACAATACATTGATCATACACGTATTTTTTTAAAGGTTGTAAGAATTAAAATTAAAATTAATCTAGCTACTTGCGAATTTGTTCAAGCAACTTTTGTATTTGCCATATCATTGTTGAAGGTCAAATTAAACCCATCATGTCAAAAGTATAAGCAATTGCTTATTTAAAGTCACCATGTTACAGATATAACAAGAAGGAACTTATGATATTATTGGAATAGCTAAATCTTACCTAACATGTTTTTAAATTTTTCTCACTTTTCGAAAACTTTTTTTCCCCTAAATATAATGTTTTTCACTAAATATTTCCAAGTTCATGAATATGTTCCAAATGGCGTAACCATCATTTCGTTCTCTTTTCCCCAATGAGACATTAATAAAGGCAACAGTAGTATACCGCTGTTCAAAAGTCATAAATCGATTGAGAGTAAACAAATCCGGGTTACAAACTAAAACCGAGGGAAACACATCAACTTTAAGAGGAAAACAAAGGAACAACAGAAACACTGAAGTCCAACAAAAACAAACGCCAACATACATAGAAACGAACTATTTGGAAACAACTTTACCGAGATTTCTTACCAAATTTGTACTTTCAAAACGTTCAAGATTTACTAAAATTTGAATTCTGGAACTTTCTGTTTTGGTCAGTATATATAAAGCGAGATTAAGAGAACCCGTTACGATTTTAAACATTATTTGTGCTTTTACATTGAGAAATGGATTTAGTGTCTTTGGAGTGATTAACATATTTATATTTTATGTAATCAGCCTGCTTATGAACTCACCACTATTCCACTTATCAAGCTGTGAACATTGGAATTAATATTTTTCGTTAAACTTATAAATTCATTCGAAAGTAACTAGAATCAACAAACCATTATGCTTAAGTATATTTAATTTGGGATTTTGTTATTATAGCTGACTGTGCGTTCACCTTTTTGTATAACTAAACAAAATAATTCATTTTTGTTAAATTGCCGGTTTCACTTTTTTCTGTGGCGCCTTATCAATTCAGTCGTAACAATTGCTAATGAGACAACTATCCACCAGAGTCAAAATGATGTGGACTAATGTGAATTATACGTTACCGCCGTACGGCCTTGAACAATGAGATATAGCCATACCATACAGTCCGCTATAAACAACGAAAAATAATCACAGAAACGAACTTACTGAATAAACACATAGAGCATGTGGCGATATTTGACATTTCAATTAGCGCTCAGCCCTATCCATAACATTGGAAAGGGGTGTAACAGCATAACATAAGAACAAATTGTAAGGATAATTTGTAGATGGCTTAACTCAACAGATTGGTACGTAGCAGCAACAACAAAGAACTCACATAAAAGTAAAAGACACAAAGTATCAAACTAATAGTAATCACAGTTACTAAAAGCTTTTGCAAAGCCAATACACAACTGAGAAAATAAATCATGTTCTTTCAGACTTATGGTTTATTCTCATCGACTCATTATGTGCCAACCACAATAGCAATGTCACACTTTTATCAGTTATCATCAATGCAAAATAACGAATTTCCAGGATATTTTATTATTAGTTGATGGTCTTTCATTTGGGAGAGTCCTGGCAACAGAAAAAACTAGACATCATTGAGATTGGAGCCATCTCTGTATGCCCCGCTGTGAATAACGTGCAGTAAAAAAATTGTATCTTTACCATAGGACATGGGGTTGTCAACTGAAACCAAAGTTTTTGACCTTGAACTTTGACATAGGAAGTTGTACATACATTATGACACACCCTCTGGTGTTGGTTAATATACATGTCAAGTATAAAGTATGAAATTATAACGGTTCTCTAGATATAGAGCGGACACAATTTGTTACGGACGGACAGACGGACGAACAGACTGATCACTATAGGGCGATCGCCATTCGGCGGGGCCCTAATAAATATATAATAAAAGATTTTCTCAATTAAATAAGGAATCTTAAAACATATTTGCTCAGGAAAATAAATACAAAGTCAATTGAAACTTTATATAACATTACAAAAACACAGCAAACAATTTAACAAGCTTAAAATATATATTTGATTAAACATATCATGGTGACCAGAATAGAGCAGTACAATCATTCATAACTAATTGAATAAACAAATAACCAAATTCATAAATAAACAAATCATGATTTTTATAGATAGATATTCAACATAAAGGAGCAAAATAAAAAAAAAAAAATACAAATACACTACAATCTTCCATATAGTTAATCGACCACATAACTTGCGCTCTCTCAATTCACGTTCTCTTTCATCTAAATAATACCCTGCTGAGCACTAAGACATAAACAAGTACTCTAATGCCTTTTTGGACAAAGATAACTAATGTTACCAATGCGTATGATAAAGGAATTGGAGCACCAATAAAAAATAAATGCGGCAAGAACGTACCAATATAAATTATATACATTATACTTTTATTTTTCTGTAATGAGGAATCATGAACACACCTTCGGAAGCTAGCTTGTTTTTGTGTTACATTGTCATGCATTATATGCCCTTTAAAGTTGACTTCAACGTAAAATAATATAAATCTTTTGTCTCAGTGGAAAATAATGAATTTCAAATAAAATTTCATAATACTAAAATCCAAATACTTAGAACGACCCTGGCATAAAAGATACGAGAGAAATCTAAAAATGAAAATAAGTGAAAAACACTAAAATTACTCATATTATTTACTTGAACTTATATGCATTTGGCTTTCCTAGTTTGTCACTTTCGGTTACACTACTTTCATACATTTATCCCTCTTAGTTTTTCAAATAAAAATGTACATCGGACGCGTAATAATAACAATTATGACAATGATTTAAAGTCCTCATCATATATTTTTGAAACAACACATATATGGGAGGTTGATAGAGCAGATTGTAAAACTGAGAAAACATCATCAACCAAGGCGAAGCCATGGTAAAAATCTGCTGCATCATCCTTTCAGATGTGTGTTATTTAATTTATCATAGAAAAAGACATTATTGGCTTTTAATTTTTCAATTGAATGTTATAAACTATGACTTCATGAACACAAATATGTTACAGTCATAAGAAAAGCCTTTAAGTAACAAAAGTGAAACAAGAGGAGTTTTTTTTTGTTATATTTTTGTTGACAATCTATGCAAAAGGTATGAGGACGGAACGTAGAACTTGACCATTGTTGTACATGTATACTTACTGATGTAAATTCAATTAATTGTCTTTAAAATTATCGATATTTGGTTGGTCTGCACTAGAGAGTGACACTCCATTAATGTCTCAGACTACCGCGAAGCCATGTGATAGAATAAAATGTCTCCCTCGTATTAACCAAACAAAAACCGGTATTTTAGAGTGAAGTTTGATTTATATGATTATCATAAATCACATTAAAAAGCCAGATTTTGATTGCTTAATACAAGGGAGATAATTGACTCTTTGCCATGGCTCAGAGGGAGTTATTTTCTAATGTCACCCTCGTGCAGACCAATCAAAACACGATAATTTAAACGACAATGAATTGAATTTACATTTATAATTTTAAAGACAATGCCCAATTTCTACGTTCGCCCTAAGAACTTTTTCATGGACTGTCAAGATGAAATAAATGCATCTTGCTTCACTTGTGTTGTTTTTTTAATAACTGTAATGTTGTTATGTACATGAAGTCATAGCTAGTTATTTTCAATTAAAAATTTAAAAATGACAGAATGTTCAGTATAATAAATTAGATAACACATAACTGACAGGGTGATAGAGCAGATTGTTACCTCTAATTAAAAAAAAAATATATTGTCAATCTTGGCTCAAGTTAGCCTCGGTTGACAATGTTTTCTCGGGATAACAATCTTCTCACCCTCACAACTATGTGTTACTTATATATTGTTCATTCATTCGCACTGAGTCGATTGCGGTATATAATTCAAAATACCAATGAAATCTAGTCAAATATCAGTTTAACGGAGTGGTTGATACACTGAGGTAAAGCCGGTTTATTAGCTCATAGTATGGACCTCACTGTCAAAAACTTTTAGATAATGCCGATTGAGAGCATACCATATACATGTTAAAACATGTTATATATAATAAATACCAATGTAAAAAGAAGACCATAAACTGAGTGTTTAATGAAAGCCCGTGGTTCCAAAAAATAAATTAAGTTGTGTATTTGGAAGATTATCTATTAACTGTAATAAATAAAGCAGATTCAACAGAATATTATCTTCTTGCATTAGCTGATTGTCTTTCAAGGTCTTCAATCTGTAAAAAAAAAAATTATACCCTTAAAATTTGTAAAAGGACTGCCTATCATGTTTTACATATGTTGTCTTTGGACATTTTGATGAAATCTTTCGGTACATTATATAAAAAACATTGAGTTTTTAATAAACAGGTACATATTATTTCTGTATTATTTACCACGAGTTGTTATACTTATACATGATCATCCTATATCATTTTATCTTAAAAAGTATTTTTTTCTTTGACATTGAATGAATACATAATCATTCAATCAGTTTAATTGAGGTCTGGAGCTGGCATGTCAGTAACTGCTAGTAGTCCTTTGTTAATGTAGGTTGATTATTGTCATTTTGCTTAGTTTCTTTTGTTACCTATTCTGACATCGGACTCGGACTTCTTTTAAACTGAGTTTTACTGTGCGTATTGCTGTGTATTTCTTTATTCTACATTGGCTAGAGATATAGGGGTGGGGGAGGGGGGTTGAGATCTCACAAAACATGTTTAACCCCGCCGCATTTTTGCGCCTGTCCCGTGTAAGGAGCCTCTGGCCTTTGTTAGTCTTGTATGTTTTTTTTTTATTTTGGTTCATTTATATGTTTTGGAGTTTAGTATGACGTCCATTTCACTGAACTAGAACCCATTTTTATTTAGGGGCCAGCTGAAGCCCGCCTCTGGGTGCGGGATTTTCTCGCTGTGTTGAAGACCCATTGGTGGCCTTCGGCTGTTATCTGCTCTTTGGTCGGGTTGTTGTCTCTTTGACATATTCCCCATTTCCATTCTCAATTTTATGTGTATATTTTTTCACAAATTTGGTGTGTCCGAAGAGCCTTTCTTTATTTTATTTCTATAAGATACAAATGTTTGACAAGAATGTAACAAAACTTGAATACACGAGGGTCTAAATAACAAAAAGGAATCTAAAAACATGGCAAAATTCATCTAAGGCTAACTTTGTTTGGGGAAGTTCAGAACTTAGTTTCATAATGATTGTTTAACTCAACGAATAATTTAAGAATTTTTTGTTATATAGCATGTCAATACTCAGTTGAATAGAAATATACCCAAGAACAAATAGGCTTTAACACCATTTTCAAATTAAATTATCTAAAACATAATGCACAAAAAAAATTGAATTTTCATGATAAAGTCTACCATCCGATACTCTCAATTAATTTGTACATGATTTCTCCATTCTATTGATTTCACGTAAATATGGTTATTATCATAATATAATAATTTTAAGGAGAACGTTACCAGTAATGTTAGGAATAATTATTATTTAAAAGAGAGGCGAAAGATACCAGAGGGACATTCAAACTCAAAAGTCGAAAATAAACTGACAACGCCATGGCTAAAAAAGAAAAAGACCAACAGACAAACAATAGTACACAAAACATAACAAAGAAAACTAAACATTGAGCGACACGAACCCCATCAAAAACCATTAAATGTGGATATGATTGCTGATTAAGTGTTTTGAATAAAACAGTTATTTAGAAAAAAATAAATGACATGGGTGTCGTGTGGTAAATTAGTTGAAATCTATGTATCATTTATAGCTCACCTGGGCCGAAGGACAAGTGTGAGCTTTTGTGATCACTTGGCGTCCGTCGTCCTCGTCCATTAATATTTACAAAGACCATCTCCTCTGAAACTTCTGTGCTAAATTTAACCAAAGATGGCCACAGTCATCATTAGGGTATATTGTTTTGAAAAAATGTTCAGAATGTTGAGATCTACATATTGTCTATTTACATTTAATTCTTATAGGAGTTGTTGCCCTTAAAAAAATGAAAACAACACGTTACAATTTCTATGCGTCCGAAGCGCTTTTCTGGATTTACCTTCATCAAGAATGCTCAAAGCCAAATATTTAAAAACCAATGATGTACAAGAACCGAAACAGTTAAAGAGCTATATGATAAAAAAAGAACCCAAAAAAGAGCCAAATCCATCTAAGGTCAACTTTGCCTGAGGGAGTTGAAATCCGTTTCTTAAAATTGCAAAATTTTTTACCGAAAATTTTAGAAAGATTTGTTATGAATCATGTCAGTACACAGTACTGACTACTGAACTATTGATACCCTCGGGGACTGATAGTCCACCAGCAGAGGTATTGACCCAGTGCTGTAAAAAATAAAAACAACACGTTAAAAATTCCATGCGTCCGATGCAGTTTTCATGATTTACCATCTTAAATAACGAATTTTAACATTTTAAAATTTTTTTTGCCCATTATCTTAAAAATTCGTCTCTATAGAAAGAATCTTGAATTAGCAAAAATTATGAGCTAGACAAGATCTACAAATAAATAAGTTTACCCTTTTTGAGTGTTTTTAATCTTAAATATGTCATCATGACTAAAAATACAGTTAACTCTTTATGGAGTTATTGCCCTTTAATAATGATGATTTTAACCCAAAATGACCATTGAAGATGCAGGTGCATGAGCGAGCATTAAGTTTAAGAGGTAGGGCCAAATTCCCCTTCATTTGTTTCTCTTACATTAAAATCAGGATTAATCCACCATATTCTACATAAGGAAATACCTGTACCAAATCAGGAATAAGTTGTTTTCCATTCGTTTGATGTGTTTGAGCTTTTAATTTTAACATTTAATAATGAACTTTTACGTTTTGAATTTTCCGTGGAGTTCGGTATTTTTGTTTTTTTCCTTTACAGGGTCAACAGCTTCGTCTGGAATTTGAATATGAAATTATTTAATATCATATTCCTACATTTAAAAAAAAAAAATTGTTTATTTCCATAAAATCGACATGTCTTTGTTAAATTTTGCATCAAAAGACAAGTTCCTAAGATAAATTTATGTTTAAGATAATGTGAAAAAAATGACGAATGTGTCCATTGGACACAGATGCCCCTGCTTGTAAATATACGGCAAATTCTAAAATTGATCCATTTACAAAGGAGCATAACTCAAGAACGGTGAAAGAGACGTATTCTTAGAGAGAGGAGTAGAAGTATTCCCAAGTTCGAACTTGATATGTGTTTGGTGTTATTAAGCATTGTGTATAAGTTTTAAGAAGTTATAATGCGGAAACGGCAAATTTAGCAATTTTTCCATTTATAAAAAGTCATAACTCGAGTTTTGTCTGTAACCAGGCGCTTAAAATTGTGTGATTTGTAAGGAAATAAGGCATAGTATTACAAGAAGCTCAAAGTACACGCACGGAGCTATGAAATTGTAAAATCGAGATTGAAAGACTTTTTTGAAATGACTTATGTTAATCTTGTAGTGTTGCTGATAATTTTCTGTTTACAGATTCTATCTATCTTCTAAATTTTTTGGCCAAAACACAATACAATGTCCCGCTTGGCGCAGCTTGATACGACCGCAGAGGTCGAACCCTAAACAGTTGGCACAAGTATGGACACTACATTCAAGCTTGATACAGCTCTGAATTTTGACCGTGATTAAATATTTGACACAGAATAGGTTTCTGACACAGAATGAATGTGGTCAAAGAACTGAAAAATTTAAAAACGGGCTTTTTCCTATTATATTCCAAAATCCAAAATCTAAATATACGGTTAGATTCAGCATATCCAAGTACACCAAGAATTGAATTTATTTATTTATTAATGGGCAATATCAGGTAAATCTTTAAAGGGTTTCGCTTCATAAAAAAATATATATATAGCATTCTGAAAATTAATTAATACAGAATAACAAACAAACCTTCCACCAAGTTCTTCAAAATATTTACAAAAATTTATTTTTTTTACAAAATATCATTTCTCATTGACACAATGTCTTTGAAAAAACTATAAAATTTACAATTATTTTTCAAATTATTTGATAACAAATAGTTAATTTCAAACTATATTTATACATAATTTCTTCTCTAAAAAATGTTTTGATGCTGCATCTTTTTTTATAAGTTTCACTCTAACTACAATTTCTATTTATGGATTTGGATTTCGATTAAATATTTGACATAGCAATGTTTCTGAAACAGAATGATGTGGTCTAAGAACTTAAAAAATTGAGATTGGACATTTACATATTATGGTCCAATACCCATTTTCTAAATACATGGTTAGATTCAGCATACCAAAGAACCACAGGAATTCAATTTTTTTTTTAAATCAAATAAATTTTAATTTTGGACCCCGAATTGGACAAACTTGAAAACTGGGCCCAAAATAAAATATCTAAACACATGTTTAGATTCAGCATATCAAAAACCCCTTGAATTCAATATTTGTTCAAATCAAACTAAGTTTAAATTTGGACCATTTGGACCTTAATGTGGACCAATTTGAAAACCGGTCACAGAATACAAAGTTAGATTCGGCAAATCAAAGAACCCTAATAATTCAATTTTTGATGAAATCAAACAAAGTTTAATGTGGGACCCTTTGGACCTCAATGTTGAACAATTAAAAAACGAGGCCCTGAATCCAAAATCTTAATACATGGTAAGATTCAACATATTAAAGAACCACAAGAATGCAAGTCTTTGAATCAAACTACATTGAAATTGGTCAAGAGTTTAGCAATGTGTACAAAGTTTAAGAAGAATTGTTTCTGGCCCCCATTACCTAAAAGTTTAGGACCATAACCCCCAAAATCACTCCCAATCTTTTTTTTTCGGATTGGAACCTTGTGGTACAATTTCATAGAGATCCATACACTTAAACACAAGTTAATTTCCTGAAAGAAGAAAAAAATGCTTGTTTTTTGTCCCTTTTTGTCTCCTAATTTCTAAACAGTTAGGACAATAACCCCCAAAATCAATCCCAACCTTTCTTTTATAGTATGGAACCTTGTGGTACAATTTCATAGAGATCCATACACTTATCCTCAAGTTATTGTCTGGAATTCAAGTATCCTCGACGACGACGATAACGACGACGACGACGCCGCTGCCGCTGACAACGTCATAACATTATACGACCTGAAAAATTTTGTGTATAAAAAGGGTGAAATTCGTCATTAAAGGGCAAAAACTTCTATGAGAAGACAACTGACAATTTTATCTTTGCTGACCTATTTGTAGATCTTGTCTTTTGATCATTTTTACTTTTTAAAGTTTCTATCTATCTATAACAATTTAACACATAATAGGCAAAAACTTAAAACAAAATGATAAAAACAACCATTTAAGGTGATAACTCTTATAATGAGTTGACCATATACTTTATCTGTAGATATTATTTTGCTGTTCGAATTTCCATCTTTCTATAATAGTTTTTAAGGCAAAAACACAAAAATTATCATTCAAGGTCAAGGAACAGTAAATGGGCTATGTCACAGATTTTGATAAAATTTTGGCTCGTTGAATTATGTCTGAAAATCAAAAAAATAATGCCTATATCTCTTTTATTTTTCTGGAATTTAACTGGTTGAATTCTTTAAAAACGGGTGAATATTTGTATAGAAGCACATAAAATCGGCGAAAAACATTCATAAATTTGCCTTAAAATCATCAAATCTCTAATTTCAAATACTTAGATTTTTCTTAAAAAACTATATGTTGTTGATACATAAATTTCAGTTTTAATGATATAGAATAATAATGATATGAAAGAATTCAATCAGTAATATTTAAAAAATAAAAGAGATAAATGCATTATTTTTTCGATTTTCAGTTAAAGTTCAACCAGCCAAAGTTGTATGCATTTTAAGAAAACCTGTGACATAGCCCATTTACTGTAACTTGACCTTTAGTGCAATGACTCCAAAAAGGACTGACTATTATTTGTAGATCTTGTTTTACTGATCAGTTTTAGTATTTAAAGATTTTCTCTATCTATAATATTTTCATGATAATAGTTAAAATGAAAAACATGGTAAAATTCGTCATTTAAGGGCAATAACTCATATAAGAAGTCGTCTGACAGTTTTGGTGTAATAGACAGTAGGTAGATCTCAACATTCTCAACATTTCTGTTCTATCAGATTTTCTCTATCTATAGCGGTTTTTAAGATTATAGCCAAAACTTGCTTTTACCCTTATGTTCTAATTGGCTCTGTAGTGTCAGTGGAGAACATTATTGTGAAAGTAAACGGACGACGATGACGGTCACAAAGTGATGGAAAAATCTCACACTGGCTCTTTGGGCAATATGAGCTAAAAGAGAGGGAGTAGTCATAATATTTTACATTGAATACTCTGATTCACAAAACCTTAAAAAAAACTAAGGTACCAAAAACAAAAAAACTGATAGGAGTTGCATGAACTCAGAAAGGAGCGACATTGGGGCGTCGAAGGATAATCACCCACGATGGGCATTCCCACCCGGCAAAATATCACAATCGGGAATAGGGATCTGTCGATAAAATTACTGATCAGATGACTATACTGGTGTTGAAAGATCTTAATCTACACTTGAATTACAAGTATTTAAAGTATTTGGAGGCAGTTATTTTTTGTTTGAAAGTATAATTACCTCATGAGCAAGATCAACAAATTCTTTTCCTCTCATCTGAAGTATATATGGACATTCTTCCGAACAACGGGCATGCTCATACCATGGACTGTCAGCAGGTCCCCATTCTTTAAAACCTATAAGAAGAAAGATCTGATCGCAATCTCCATTCAATAAAAGAAATATACGAAGAGGCTTTGAATATTGTGCCTGGAAGAAGGACACAAATCACATGAGATCCATCCAGCTGCTCCGGAGCTGATAATATGTGCATGACTACTCCACAAGTGGAACCCGCCGCAGTGACATTGTTAATGACATATTGAATACATGTACATTAACAACTTAGTACATCATTGGTCCAATTAGCAGTTTAACTTCAATGACGACGACAATGACAAAGATTCACAGGAAGACATGTCAACCTACCCATACACATCACACTGATTGCAAACCGACCAGTCATACTCCTAAATTCAACGAGATTAGCGAAGAAGCAGCAAAAAGTAATTTGCAAGCTTTTGGTTTAATTCGGCCGAGGATCGAAACCCATGACCTCCTACTTTCTAGGCAAGCACGCTACAACGAAATCATCGACGTGGTTGTTTAACTCCGGAGATATTGTATGTGTTTATTCAGAACAATAGCACATACTCGAATGATTGGAAAAAATCACGTTTCAAATACAGTAATGGGATAATTTTGAGTAGAGATACTTTACCGCTTTAAAAAAGAATAGGTACATTTGTAGTGTCAAATGTTTGCACTCGGTGTCTATACAACATTCTATTTTTGGGCAAATTTGAATTCATTGACCAATTACTGTGACTTGACTATAGGTGTTGCTGTTCACCTTTACTTATTGTTCAACCAGATTGTAAAATTGACAATACAATTGTGACATCTAAATTGACCAGTTGCCAGATTTAAATCTCACATGCAGAACCAGTAATAATCTACCTTGATGGATTAACCTATTAAAGGTCCATGAAGTGACTTCACCTGTTCAGTGGTCAAATTTTGTTCAAACTTTAAACTGACTATTGTTTATTTATAGATGAAAACAGCAAATTTTCAGGAAAATATCATTTGATATTTTAAAATAGACTCATCTATTCCAATAACAATAATAATGATAACAACAATATTAGTGTAAAGCTGTTATTAGGAAATGAAATTAAATAGTACATGATCAATTAAGAAATTTTGTAATCGGACCCATTTGAAATTATAAAAACAGTGCTAATTTCAGTAAATAACATAACATGCCTACATTTTAAATTAGCATACACTGTTTATGGTATGAAAAAAGCTTGAGTATGGCCACAATATGCAAATGATTCCATGTTCTAGTTTTTGCTAAAACCTGCTCATTTTTTTTTAATTTCATTTCCCAATGTTTTTCTTTAGAGAATCCTAAAATAAGTAAAGGAAATATACATTGAAATTACATTCTTTTTTTCATTGATATGAATGTATTCGTAAATGGCCATGCAATTGCCAAAGAAACAATTTTACATTTAGAAGGAATACGAGAGATTTTTACTTTAATGTCATTTTCAAATTTAAGGAGTGAGCAAGCCAGAACAAGAATATATATGTTTTTTTTTCTTGCAGGGTATTTAATTGCATGTCATATAATGCACTACATTTCCTCTTAATTTTTTCATAGCCAAATACTATGAGTGCTTGGATTTCTTTTATATCGTTGAAACGTTCTCTTTCATCTCTTTGGCTTTTTCTAATGGGAGTTAACTCAAAATACTTTTTTTAAACTCTTGTGTAAATCTTAATTATTTTTTAATTTCCATAATTTTCCAGGATTAATAAACACCAGAACAAATGTGTGCATTCTTTCATTTAAACATTTGTTCAATACTTATTGAAATGAGCCTTGTACAAAGTGTTTATGCATAGTGCAATATAAAAAATAATAGTTATAAATAAACTGTTTATTTATTTATTTATTGACACAGATTTTTGATATTCCATCCAGTATTCCAGTTTCATTATTTGAAGTAATTTTGAAATATTTTCCTAAATTTATTAACTTTTTGGAATATTTTCTTACATTTTTCACTATATCACTAGGTTTTTTCTATATCCAAAGTATTCTCTTTAATTTCCAATGATATATATCCCAATTAAACAGGTGCAGAGTATTTATATTAGATCCAGAATTTTGTAATTTTTGATTATTTCCAATATCACATTACAAATTTTTGGGATATTTTATTCATATTTTCCCCTAAATCACTTGATTTTACTATATCCACAGTATTCAGTTTTATTTTATTTCCCATGATATATATCCCAATTAAACAATATCAGATCTAGAAATTTAAAAAGATTATTTCCAATGTCACATTCAACATTGTTATCCTCATGTTATGAATTTTTTGGGAATATTTTACTTTTATTATTCACTTTATCACTAGATTTGACTATATCCACTGTATTCACATTTTATTTCATTTCCATGATATATATCCAAAATTAAACAGGTGAATCATCTTCATATTAGATTCAGAATTTAATAATGATTATTTTTAAAATCACATTCAACATTTAAAGCCGCAGAAACATGTTGGTTGAACTTATTTCTCCTACTTGCATTCCAGTTTTGTTTTATTTTTACCTTTTAGATTAACTAAATTCCATATTATAAAAAGTGAATTCCCTTGAGTGAACACAGTTTTTTTATGCACAAAAATCCTAATAGATTTCAAAGCAAAACACTACAAGCTATACTCCAAAATTATTTTGGCTTTTACATGTACATCATCATGTGAAAGCCACACAAAACATTTTGAATGAATTATTTCCTCCTTGATACATTTATGACAATCCAGTCAAAGTCACATTTTAAGAAGCAAAATTAAATGGCATCTAAGAAGTGAATTCAAATAAAATAAATCCCAATTTTTTATGCACATTGATTCAAATAGATTTCAAACACTGTGAAAAATTTGAAGGGATATATATTCATCTGAAAACTGAAACTGAAAACACCTGAATTGCTATTTCTTGTTTCACTGACAACTGGACAGTACTATGTATAAGGGTTACTAGTAACAATTTAAAGATTCATTTATTATTTAAAAACAGTTTTAATTGTCATACTTATTAACATGCTGTTAAGAACATCTTTGATTGATTTAAATTTTTGGGTCAAAATTCGATTTATCATCTATATTGGGGACTTAAAACAATGAAAATCAATAACATTTTCTTCCCTATCAATTTTATAATAGAATAACCCTAGGTGAAGAAAAACTTCAGGAAAAAAGCATGCTGTAAGGTTGGGTTAGGTTAATAAAAAACTGTACAGGTAGCATCAAGGTAGACAAAACTCTAACAATACCAACTGGTCAATTTAAATGTCGCAATTGTATTGTCAATTTTACAATATGGTTGAACAATAGGTAAAGGTAAACAGCAACGCCTATAGTCAAGTCACAGTAATAATGGATGTGTTTTTAATATGGACAATTTATATTGTAGATACATGTATTGAATAATGACAAAATACATAAGCATAGAATAAATAAAAAACCATAATGTTATTTTTAAAATTTAGACATAATTATGCCCCCCAAAAAGAGGATCTTAATAATTGCAATATTTTGGCATTTCATACAGTTTACATTTTACTCGAAATCGTGACAGAGGTTACAAGTGGGTCTCATTGGGGTCTAAGCGTGACGCGGGATTGACAGATATTTTGTAAGCGTGACACGTGAAAGTCAAATTATTGTGCATGAAAACAGGAAACAAAGCCGGAAGGGGGTGGGGTGGGGTGGGGGAGGGGGAACACGTGAAATTTCAAGCGTTATTTTTACAATGATAAGTTGGATACGGGAATCTGATAAAATTGTAAGCGGGATCCGGATCAGAACCCCAACCCCACCCCCTTACAAAGGAACTTGTCGAAATCAACATTATTACGAATCGACACTCCACAAATATGCCAAACTTTCAACAACAAATTCATAAAATAATTAGTGTAATAAACACTTACACAATGTCATGAATTCGTTCAAATATCAAATCTTTAAACATTATTAATAGGAAAGCTTGCTGAATACCAATCACAGTGTGTCCCTCCTTCATAGCTTGACGTTTTGTATAAACCCGTCAGTATTTTACGTTTAAACATTATAATATTTATTAAAAATAACGTTTTGAATTTAAAATAGAAATAGAGTATTTATAGAAAACATCTCAGCTTAGTTGTCAATTTCAAAATTTTGAAAAATGAAACAATAATTGCTTTTGCACAAATGTAAATAAGTAGCTGTTAAATTAAAAAAATACAAACGATTAGTATTTTTGACCCGCTCCCTTCCATATGACGGTGAAGTTTCGAGTTCACATAAACACTAATAAATACAAAAAGACAACCTTTTCGCCGCAAAGCTTGATAAAAGATAAAGTCTGAATAAACAGTATACTATTTTTGTAAAGCTTTGTCCTAAAAAAAAATGCAAGCTGATTAATGGGTTTTGTTAAATGTTGTGTAAATAAAAAGGTTTAAAGGTCAACTTCGATTTTAAATTCCATAAATATTGAAAAGGAAGGCTTGAAATTCGTATTTATGATAGTTCGTAAGTTCTTTATGCAAAATCTGATTCGTTTTCCGTGTTAAGCTATACTTTTGGTCCTTTTTTGTCCTTTCAGCTCTTCAACTTCTGTATTTGTTTTGGATTTCAATTTTTTTTTAGACATCGAGCAACACTGAATATAAATTTCTTGTTGAAATGCGCAACTGGTACAGTTAAATTGTAATCGTTAATGTAATTATCGGCCATCACTTGATACTTAAAAGAATTACACGCTATTATTCCTAAAAAAAAAACAGAATATCGCAAAACGTTTAATTTACATAAAGACATTTATTCTCAAAATTGAAAAATCAAGTGATATAAAAAAAAGTAAAGAAAATCTCGACATTTCAACTGTACTTAAACTATAAAACTAAAAAGAGTAAACTTTGACTTACATTTTAGCTTCAAGGTGGGGGGAGGGGGGGAGGGGGTTTGCATTGTAATTAATAAACTCATCATAGATATCAGGCTTGTGACTTTGATGGAAAGTTGTCTCATTGGCGCTCATACCACATCTTCTTAATTCTATTAAAATTGTGTACGCCAGACAAGGTTAGGATTTTTTACTAGTTGTTATTGGCTTTAAACTAGCGTTCGGTAACTGTGAGTACTCTCAGATTTGTACTTTTTGTCCGTCCGTTTTTTTAGTTTGATTTTGTGCTTTTTACTGATCTGAATAGTAAACTCTTAAACCTATTTTTCAAACTTTGTTCTCTTATTTTTCTGTTACACCACTGTGCCAAGTTAGTGGAAAGCCACATTCTATATGTGCCTGTAATTCATTGGTTGTCGTTTATTGCCGTAATTGTATTTATTTTTTGTTTGTTATTTTGTATAAATCAAACCGATGTTTTTCTTGTTTGAATTCTCTTCATATCGGGGCCTTTCATAGCTTGCTATGTGGTTTGGGTATATATTCATTGCTCAAAATGTTTTTATTTGATCATACAAAATGCTATTATTATCCTGATGAATTGGTTTATGTGCATTTACTTTTCTCATTAAATCTCATAGGCGGTCAATTTAAGAATACAAAACTTAAGATCAAACTCGTGAAAAATATATATATTATTAATTAAATGAATTAAAAAAAAAATCTTGAAATTCATCCTATTTAATAATTACGCAGCAAAATTACATGTACAATGAGCTGCAAAAGTTTCTTATCTGCATCCGATTTCACCTTTAGAGATGTACACTCTCTAAAGCTAGTTTGTCTAGCAAAATATTGCGTTTATTGTCTCGCCTTGACGGAGTCAAAAAGCGAGACATAGGTATGCTGTTTCCGGCGTCAGCGTCGGCGACGGCGGCGGCGTCAACAACGTATTAGTTTGTGATTAGGTCTAGTTCATGGTGAACCACTAGTGGTAGGTCAATGATATTTGGTATGCAGTTGTATTAGCATTGACACATCTCATTACCATGGAGATTATTTGGCCCCGCCCCCTCAGTCAAGGTCTATTGACTTTGAAACTTTTCATAGTTTACATGTATTAGTTTGTGATTAGGTCAATTTATGGGGAACCACTGGTGGTAGGTCAATGATATTTGGTATGCAGTTGTATAAGCATTGGCATATCTCATTTCCATGGAGATTATTTGGCTCCGCCACCTTAGTCATGGTCTATAGACTTTGAAAATTTTGCTAAGTTACCAACATGTATTACTTTGTGATTAGGTCAGTTCAAGGGGAAACATTAGTGGTAGGCCAATGTTAATTGGTGTTCAGTTGTATAAGCATTAGCACATCTCATTTCCATGGAGAATATTTGGCCCCGCCCCCTCAGTCTTGGTCTATTTATTTTGAAACTTTTGCTTAGTTTACATGTATTAGTTTGTGATTAGATCAGTTTAAGATGAACTGCTAATGTTAAGTCAATGATATTTGGTATGCAAATGTATTGGCATTTGCAAGTATTGTTTCCATGGAGATTATATAGCCCCACCCCTGATCATGGTTCATTGACTTTGAAACTTTTACATAGTTTACAAATTATTGTTTGTGTTTAGGTTTGTTTAAAGGGAACGACTTATAATAAGTCAATGGTATTTGGTATGCAGTTGTATTAGCATTGGCACATCTCATTCCATGGAGATTGTTTAGCCATGTACCTTCAGTCATGGTTCATCGACTTTGAATATTTGCATAACTTACATATTAAAGTATTGCTATTTTAATTTCAACATTTGCATTATCAAAATTACAAAAAGGCGAGACATATCTCTGTGATAACAGTTTTATTAATATTACATTGCAAATATTTGTAACATTTTAATGTTTACATACTAAATAGTATGTTAAAATTACATTGTTAGGCAATTTATAATTTCATTTCTGTAATTGTATTAATTGTACTGATTAATCCACACACAAATAAATTTGTATGTTATGTGTTTCTATTTATAGACACTTGTATAATATAAATACAAGATTCTAACAAAAAGCAAAATCAATGACGGTAAACATGGTAAAGGAAAGCAGCAACTTTCCAACTATAAAAAATCACGAATGTGAGTTCATTTCATGCTACCCGAACAAAATTTACGCTAGCATTTTTACGGCACCAGATGCATATTTCGACAATTAATGTTTCTTCAATGATTATGGAGACTAAACTATTTGAAATACAAACAATTTAGAGCTGATATACTCGAAAAGTACAAAAGGTATAGCCAAATCGGGACAGAGAATTAGAGGATTGCTTTTTCCTTTCCATCTCTTTTAACCATAATGCCCACAAAAACCGTCATTTACAGGTAAATTTAGCGGGGAATAGATATTGAAGTATATTCTAAGTTTCAGGTCCCTTTATATATTGGTTCCAGTAATTGCATACCTTACGATTTAATAAAATTCCAATGCCATTCTAGAGTTATAGGACGTTGACAGTCAGATGAATGAAATGCATTTTTAAAATGTTGTGCACTAGCTATATAATATGATTTGATCAAACTACTACAAACTTAACACTGTTATTGGAATTGGTTGAGATGAGTGTATGTTTTGACTTTGAAACTTTCTGGTTTGTCATACCAGAGTTATATGATCTTAACAGTCATAATTGACATAATACGTATATGGCTTATTGTATCCTCATGCATGTTTTGCTATGAGGCCATTTATTTGCATCTGCTTTAATGCTTTCTAAATATCCTATTTTATTTTTGCAACAATTTCAACATGCAAAATAAGGCGTATCATGCTCTCGTGACGCAACTGTTTATTATATGTCTAGTTAAGTCGGGACTAATTTCTACTTATGGTATTCAATTGCTCACGATTTATCGTCGAGATCTACATATTCACTAAAAAATAATCCAAACAAAAACGTCATGAAAAATTAGATGTGATTTTTCAGTAAACATTTGTTTCCTAAACAAGATATTTGTACCACCGTGGTCCATTTCTTTTTTTTTTCATTTGAGACATAATAGATCTGTTTCGTTTGTTTTTATGTTTAGATTGAAAATATGTGGAGAAATGGAGAAGTGAAATGTTTTGATGCCACAGCAAGTAAAGATTGATAGATGGACTTAGAGCTGTAACATTTCTTTGCGGTTTGAACATTTAAAAAATATAGATTATTTCAAACAAATCCTTCAAGGGGTAAGTTTAATATGAGAGTTTTAAATGAAGTTTGGTATTCTGGAATATTTTGGAATAATAAAATATCAAGTTAACTCACCAATACCACAGTGAAAACACCGAACACAGTCGTCCATTTCTGAAATTGAGGAAAACCTATATTAAATAACACTTTGTCGCAAAAATATCACGCTTTAAAATAATATTGAACGTAAAATATGAAATTAGGGATCAACAAAATAATATTGTTTTTCTTGGCTAGTCCTTCTCATAGTGCAATTGAAAGATTGTTTACTGTCTAAAAATTTTCATAGTACTTTTGCAAATTGACCAATTAGAATTAGAATATTAATGGTTTTTATTTAATTAGAATGAATTAAGTTTGGTAAAGGACAAGATGTAAATATTAAATTCTAATTGATATATGACGGACGCAATTGGATTGCACCATCTTAAACTGTCTCGACTTTTCAAGTTAGTTAAAAAACACGTTATCACTCGAAAATTTATTGGAAAAAAAACTATGATTTTTTTTTATTCATCATTGGTTTTGGTATAATTAGAAATCTGTAGAAATTTGTTTTAACAGAGCAAACATCAACATCGATAAATTTAATAAATAAATTTTTCATGACGTTTTTCAGACGCTAATCTTTTCACCTCGCTCCGCTCATCACGAACATTATATGTGACTTCATTCACTAATATGCATTTGTTTACATATATTTTTTTTAAACTAAACTTTGTGACAATTAAGACAATACAATTGGAATTCACATATAACGTTAAATTATATGATTCGTATCTCTACTCCTTTTGTATTCTTAAGAAAATTGGTATTTACCTTTTCTCCGTCGTCATATGACACAATGCCCCGCTCGCACTATAATATGTCTATATTCAGTGAACTGTTAAAACGGATTCAATATCGTAATTTGGCAAACAACTCAAAAAGTTAAACTCACAATGAACATGAACATGTGTACCACGTTTCAAACTGATGTTACCACAACTTCATAGGAAACCAAAATTTCGGTTGTATACATTAAAAGTTCACATCATATTTACGTTATTGTTCTTATTTACAATTTGATGCGACAACAATTTCATTAATTACTACCTTAATCAAACGTTTTAACCTAATACAGGACGAACGGACTTACGAACAGACGCACCAACCAGAAAAAAAAAACCCGCCCCACTACTATAGGCAGGGCATATAACATTAGCACTAAAACAGATGAAAACACATATCGCTGAAATAAATAATTTAGATTTGTAAAAACAAAAGCTGAAAGCTACATGTAAGAGGATAGAAAGAATGCTATTTAGATAAATAGAATAAGAATAAACTTTAAAAAAATAATGATGAAATTTAGTCAGGTAAATAACTTTCAGCCGTTTCATTATTTCAATGTTGATCATGTGATATTAAATTGAGTGATAATAAACAATTGGATAATTTTGGTCAATGGTCAATTTTAAATTCTTGTCTTTCATTTTTGCCTATGTAATTTTTCTATATGCCATTTTGTGTTTCTTTGTTGAAACAGTTATTTGTTTTTATAGCGATTAAGATTATATTACAATGTTGACTGCTGTACCCCAATTTTTGACGTTTTTACCTTATATGTCTGCTGTTTGTGCTCACACATTGTTGTCAATATAATGGAATTCAACGCAACTGCCATACAAATGAGAGGTTAAGCTAGCTATAAAACCAGGTTTAATCCACAATTTTCTAAATAAGGAAATGCCGGCACCAAGTCAGGAATATGACAGTTGTTTTCCATTCGTTAGATGTGTTTGAGCTTTTGATTTTGCTATTTTATAAAGGACTTTCCGTTTTAAATTTTCCTTGGAGTTCGGTATATTTGTTATTTTACTTTTTGCCAAAGGACACACTCCATTTAAATATTTATTTATCCATTGCTCCTTGCTTTTTCGCGATTAAAATCACAATTTCATTTATATATGTTTTCATGTTCTGTTTCGGTTTTAGTTTTTTTCAGTAGTGAATTTACATTGATGACCTTTGAGGTAGTGCCTAAACTAGTATACATTATTTTGATAAAAATATAGATATATAAAATTTAAACTGGTTCAGGTAAGAAACAGCTCCCCATTATTTTCATTTTGTAAAGTTTCCGATATACGTAGTTTGTCATTAGAATTGTTAACATAACTTTTAATTTCCTTTTTTTTTAAATTGATTTCTGAAATTGACAAATTTTTTATCTATCAAACTGATTATTCTCATACGTGTATAAAAAAATCCACATTCAGCTAAATCAAACGGACTAAGAAAGGTTCGGTTTGCAGGCCAATTCTTGAAAGACGCTTTCCTTGTCTCTAAATTCTTGTAGTCTGGGAATCTCACTTCATCATTTCCGAGGCTGGGTTCTTGGTCTTCTAAAACTTGCAGCTGTGACTCTGTGAAAGTTGGACTGATAATTGAGGTTGAAGGTTGACTTGTTGGAGGATAATTATCAGTATTACTACTTTCTGCAATTTATAAAAAGGATGTTTACCCTGACAAAATGAACTGTTGAATTGGTTTCATATGAAAGTAGTGATAAAAAACGACCATTGTCATTAACATCAATTACTTAAAATCTCATTCAGAAATAGAGTCTAAACAATTGTGGTCTGTTCTTTGTAAAGCTAAATTCGCCAAAAAAAAAAATCATTGACCTCAGTTGTTTTAGTAATAAAATGTATCTAACTTATATCATCATAATACTATTTAAATTGCAATTGATAATGTTAGTGCTTCTGTTTAGGTAAGACAGTTTTATATGGATAGAGATTGAACACTTTTATTAGATTTCATTACAATCAATATAATGGTTTTCGTTCTTTTGTTTACAGTTAAAAATAAAATAACGAATATTGGAAAATCATGGCACTCTTGGGTAAATCAAGAAAACCACTCCAGACTCGAAAAAACAAAGTTAGACATTGTTCATACTCTTCGAAATGTTGAGCAAGTATTCAGACAAGTTCAGACTAAAATTGGTAATTTCAGAATATGATGACATTATAGTGGCATATTTCTGATTATCAAATAACATTGTCTACATGTGAGATAATGAAGGTCTGACTTCCCTTTTTGTCCTTTTTTTTTGTTTAATCAGCTTTGAATCGCAAATAGTGATAAATCAAATACCAGAGTTAGAAGAAATTTCTGTAATTATATTAGCTTCTTGTCTTTCAAGTACTGCAATCTGTAAACATAATCACATCACACATGAATTAATGGGCTTCATATCATTACCTTCCATAACAGACATTGTTTTTTCTTCAATAAACAGGAGCATTTTTTGTTTATAAAATGTATGAAGAGTAATAGTATATCTGATAATGTCATATAAAAATACGTAAAAACGTATCTTTTCTTTTTAATCGAATCATACATCAGCATAAGTCGTGAGTTTTATATGAAGTGCTTTGTGAACTTGTGTATCTTTCCATCGCCTTTCATTTTTGTCATTGCGTTGTCAGTTTCTTTCGACTTATGAGTTTTGATTGTGCCCTTGTTATCTTCCGCCTCTTCTTCCTAAATAAAACTTACTTTTAACTAGATGCACAAAGATATTCGCAAATATCGCTTTTAGTATTTTTGTTCCTAATCTAAATTATGATTACAAACAATATGAATTAGTTGCACAGTTTAGGAATGCATTTCTACACCTATATATAGCTATATCTATCGATATTTTTTAACCAGACTTCGAATCTCATATTTCCCTGGTGCTTGTATATTGCAATCTTGATATCGCAACGGCGATTTCTAAATGTCTTTTAATACGATTGTCTTGAAAAGCAACTGTATATTCGAGCTGATAAATTCGGTATGCAATTATTTTTTTTATCAGCAATTTGTCTTAACTGTATGATTTTTTGGTTGAAAATATGAAATAAAATGAAATCGTAAGTAAAACTATTTTTACGTATACAAAACGTTGTGATCTTGAAAATATTAGACATTAAGATCAAAGGGAAAAAGTACAAATTGCCCATTAATAATTATATCTATCGATATATTTATCCTGACTTCAAGTATCATATTTCCCTGGTGCTTGTATATCGAAATCTTGATATCTCAACGGCGATTTCCAAATGTATTTTTAATACGATAGTCTTAAAAAGCAACTGTATATTGACTGTTATTTTATTTTCTTAAATATAACTACCGCTAGTTGTACATCATCAACACAATCTTTTCCTTTCTTCTGTAGTAGATATGGACATTTTCCTGACCACCGAGCATGCTCAATCCATGAAATGTCATCAGTTTCCCAGTTACGTAAACCTTAGAGAGTAAAGATGTAATGCCAATATGTGAAATAGTTCATTATAAAAAAGATCAAACAAGGGATTTAAAATTGTTCATTAATAGAGGATAGAGTGTACTATAAAACACGTTTAAAGATTGCAATAGCAGGGATTCTTTCAGCAGCTCTGGAGTTATCAGCTTTTCCTCTGAACTAGTTCATACTGTGGTATTTGTCATGAAACGTTCAATTCGTGTACATATTCAAACTGATACTCAAATGATACTAGCAGCAGTTTTGTTTCTATTATCGTGATCGCTTTTTGCGGTAAACCTAGTAGATATTTCGTATGTTTATTTGAAACTGTATTACATACTCGTAAAATTTGTCAAACAAAATTCGTTTCAAAAACCATATTTTAATTTGCATAAGGATATTTTGGCGTTTTCTAGCAATACAGGAGTGGTTTAAATTTTGCTATTTCAAAGTTTGGCACTTCAGTTATACTAGTATATGAATCAGTGTTTGATATGACATATAGAGATCATAAATATTAAAGAAATCGCGAATTTCTAAAACATCAAAAACAAATAACATTTTATTATTAAGTAGAAAAAAGCAAAATATAGAAATCTAATTATATCATTTGTATTGAATTACCTTTATAATACATTAGGATACACAGGGTATACCAACATAATTTTCCCTTAAGTGTTTTTGCATTCATCCAAAATTCGGATAATGCTGTGTTGACCCTATTGACAAAAATAAGTTTAACCGTTTTTTGATGTCCCGCTTACTATAGTAGATAAGCAATTTGTTTTCCGCGTAGTTCATTAGAACATGGGAATGGATATTGCGAGCGGGGTATTGTGTCCTATTGACAAATATTCTTGTATTTTATTAAATTTAATACAATAATGTATTAGAAACTATATTTTTTGTTTCTAATCAGTGCTCATATTTTTTTACTTGTGATCAAACAAAACCGTGTAATTGTATTCTCGATGACTTTAGTTGGGTGTGTTTCATTTTGGCACTTAAATCTAGAATGACAAATAAGCAAAATAAGATTTCAGCCAAATTTTTCACAATTTACCTCAAAAATACAACTTTAGAATGAGCCCAGGACTATGAAAATATAAATACATGTCTCATAAATCAACTTATGAGCAGCATAGGTGACTTAAGGGTACAATGAACATTTTTATTTTGTAAGGCGTACATGGCATGGTAGTGTCCCATATCTTGGTGATAAATGTTAGCAATATCTGGAAAATAGCGTAGTAGATGGGTATCAATCTTAAATGAAACTTTCAGAATTTTTGTAATTGGTATGGGGGCGCAACTTCAAACACATGTTTCAAGATTCAGCCACTTTTTGGAATGGCTGCTGAAGAAAAAAAACGCAGAAATTTGGTGACAATCAATTTCATAAAAAAAAATTAATTTACTCATGCCTTTACACACATTAATACTAGGTCATTTAATTTGCAATCGCTTCAACAACCACCTGCATTCAAGAAACTATCAAAAGCATAAATTAGACATCAAATAAACAAGAATTTCAAACGTGGAGTAGTATGGCATTGGAGGACGAACCATCAACACGATGATGAAGTTGGACATGGGCATAGTAAAAGATAGAAAACAAGAAAATGTCATTCTGCTAGCTGGTGGTAACAATGTAACAGAGGACACGTCTGTCAAGAAAGTGGTATATACATTTTTTTAAAGTTTCTGCTCGCTCCTAATAAACACGTATAGCGTTCGATGCGTAGTAACCTGCGCTCAATGCCACTTTACAGATTTAGTAAATTTGGATACAAACGTTTTAAACAAAGATCTCGAGATCGGGTCTTCAAAAACATGTATTAAGAAAAGGCACAAAAAATCAATCAAATTATAAAAGACGAGGCGGAAAGATATTTATTGGGATCATAACAAAACAAGGGTTAAGGTTGTTAGTTTATTAACAAGTGCAAATTTCAACACAGATGTTTCAATTGTGGTATCAACCACATTTTTCAACATGCAAAAAAACCAGTTCGTCTCCCATATAAGTTCAGTCAAAACAGCAATACGATACCACAAAGTGGCAACAATCATTCCTTTTGAGCCGCAAATAGAATACAATCCCCTTCAAGAATCAGAGACAATGCCTCCTTTAAAAAGACAGAAAAACCTCTCCCCCTAAAAAAAATGAAGTTAACTTTAATTCAAATCGCAGTACAACAGTAAAGGTTGACGGGCTTTCATATTGGTTGAAAGTATAAAATATTAAAAAGTACAACTACATAGTTAGAGATTTTAAATTTGGATTTGACGTAGGCTTTAGTAGTAAACCAGATATTGTAAGGCAACAAATTCAAAATGAAATTGGTGCTAAAAGATTTGTTAGTCCTTTTGCGAAACCTTTTACAGAGATGCAATTATCCTCTCTTGGCTTAGCAGAAAAGAAAACGCTAAGGGCATATAAAATGATCAATCATTTATCTTTTCCTGAAGGGTCTTCAATCAATGAAAGTTCTATCTCAACATACATATCAGCAATAGGTTTTACACATAAGATTACTCATTGTCCTGACCCTACTGACTCATTTATTATTGATAAGGTACTGAAACTAGTGCACAAAGAAAGAAAACATGATACGAGACTTCCAATCACAAGCATTATTTTGCATCAACTAGTTAGTGCATTTAAACATACAATTTCTAATATATATGAAAAAGTTTTATTCAAAGCTATGTTCACCCTAGCATATCATGTTCTGTTAAGAATTGGTGAGATGACTGTCAACAACGAGAATTACAGTCATGTCATTGCTTTTAGTCAAACTGTAATTTTACATGAAAAAGTGGTATAAACTTTGTGGATTTCAAACATTCTGATGGAAAACAATTTTGTTAGAAATAGCGAAAAATAAAAATAACAATATTTGCGCAGTAAGGCGCTAACAAGTTTCTACAAGTTAAATATGAGAACTAACAAAGGAGGTCTGCTATTTATTAACTCCAACGGACAACCTGTTTGTAGACAACTCTTTCGAAATACATAGAATGGTGCCGTGAATTTTTGCGAGCTGAGTAGAACATATAACAAACCTTATAGTTTCAGAATTGGCTTCGCGTCTGACGCAAGTGCTAAAGGATTGTTTAATGAAACTATAAAAACATTAGGTAGATGAAAATTTGATGCATTCAGGTCCAATTTCAAACATTTGATCAACCTTACAACTGGTGCAATATGTTGTGCGAATAAATCACTGCCGTTTATTATTTTCTATCTTTTACAGGGCTTGTGGGTCACAGCTCGATACATAATGCATGATATGACAGAATAGCAGTATATGGAGAACAGTTGACAAAGGAAAATTGTGAATCTAAACAATCACTTACCTGATTAAATGTCTGTACCAAGTCAGGATTGTGACAGTTGTTTTCCATTCGTTTGATGTGTTTGAGCTTTTGATATTGCCATTTGATAAGGGACTTATCGATTTGAATTTTCCTTGGAGTTTCCTTGGTATTTTTGTTATTTTACTTTTTACTGTCTCAGAGAAAATTGACAGGAGCCAGATTTTTAGGCAAAATACAGGGTCAAATGATTTTTAAAACACATAATTTGCATAAAATAACATTAAGCCGTATGCTCAGAATAATTGATTAGGAAAATAACATGCTTAAGTTCTAAGAGGTTAAAGCGAAATATAATAAATTGAGAATGGAAAAGGGGAGTGTGTCAAAGAGACAACGACCCGACCATAGAGCAGACAACAGCCGAAGCCCACCAATGGGTCTTCAATGCAGCGAGAAACTCCCGCACCCGGAGGCGTCCTTCAGCTGGCCCCTAAACAAATATGTATACTAGTTCAGTGATAATGGACGTCATACTAAACTCCAAATTATACACAGGAAACTAAAATTCAAAATGATACAAGACTAACAAAGGCCAGAGGCTCCTGACTTGGGACAGGCGCAAAAATGCGGCGGGGTTAAACATGTTTTTTGAGATCTCAACCCTCCCCCTATACCTCTAGCCAATGTAGTAAAAACAAACGCACAACAGTACGCACAGTAAAACTCAGTATAAGAGAAGTCCGAGTCCGATGTCAGAATAGGAAACAAAAGAAAATAAACAAAATGACAATAATACATAAATAACAACAGACTACTAGCAGTTACTGACATGCCAGCTCCAGACCTCAATTAAACTGATTGAAAGATTATGTCTTTATCATATGAATATCAGGCACAATCCCTCCTGTTAGGGGTTTAGTATTATACCGTCATAAAATATATGAGAAGAACATAACCCGTGTCATGCCAACAACTGGTTTTAGAATAAATGTGTTTAATTCCGATGCAAAGACCCTATAAGTGAATCAATATTAAAGCCAAAATATGCAATCTTTAATGACCTGACAACAGTATCGTAACTATATCCCTTCTTGATGTATTAATAAGGTTATTATGTTTCATAGGCTGGTTCATACCAATTTGATAAATATGATGGACACAATGTCAGTAAATTAAGTCTTTTTTACTTTTTAGTATATGTTTTTTGGTATCAATTAGATACATATGTGGGACACAATGTCTGTAAATTGCGTCTTCTTTTATATTTTTGTTTGTTTGTATCAATTAGATACATTTTTGGTATACAATGTCTGTAAATTGTGTCCTTTTAGTAAGTATGTTGTTTGTATCAATTAGATACATTCGTGGGACACAGTGTCTGTAAATTGTATCTTTCTAGTATATAATGTATGTAAAAGTGACGCTACCCAAAAGTGTACTTGATCTGAGTTTTGTTGAAATAAGCATTGTGTATACGTTTCATAGCATTTAGTTGAGGCAAACTTAAGTCAGAGAAAGGAAACGAAAAATCCAGCAATTTTTCCATTTGTAAAGGGGCATAACTCTAGAACGGTAAAAGTGAAGCCACCAACATTCAAACTTGATCTGTGTTTTGTGGTAATAAACATTGTGTATAAGTTTCATAAAATTTGGTTGAAGCAAACTAAAGTTAGAGAACGGAAACAAATTTTAGGACGTACGGACGGACGGATGGACGTACGTACGTACGGACGTACAGACGAACAAAGGTAAAACTTAATGCCCCTTTGCTATGGCGGGGGCATAAAAAGTATTCCATTTACCTTCGAGATTTAGCTCTTATATTTTTGAATTCTAACAAACATGGCTGGCGGTATCCGCTCCAAAAAATGAGATGTTAATTCATTATAATAAAAATTTATAGTGAAGGGGATATAACTCTAGGTTATTTTACTTTTCACATCAAAAGAATTGATGACATTTGACTTTTTCACTTATTACAAAATATGCGTGTATATGTTGAAATTGTACTAAAAGTATTGTATATTAATATTTACAACTGATAGTTATAATTGTAGTGTACTCTAATTTTTAAACATTTATCTTCCCATATGAAATTAAAATAATAACTGTCACATTTGTGGCCTGCATCATCATAACTTGTGTTAGTTGTTATATGCCTTCAGCGGACCATAAAAATTCTACATAAGTGCCAATAAAAGAAAGAAGTAGTATTTAAAATGGATTTGATAATTTCACGAATGTTGGTTCATTTGATGCTATACTATGTAAACTTAGAAACACTTTACATGCTGTTGTTGCAATATGTTTAGTACCTACATGTTTGTGTAATAGAGTTGGTTTTTATATTTAAACGTGTGGAATGGCATTTGAATTTTAAGTTCCACAATTGCTTAATAGATTATTATTCTAATGTCAATCGTTTGTCCTATAAGGATATATAGAAGTACTTTTATTTGGGTATGAAATAATATATATCAAGTAAACTCACCAATACCACAATAAAAACACCGAACACAGTCACCAAAATCTGAAATTGAGGAAAACATATATTGAATAACACTTTGTCACAAAAACATTGCACTTTAAAATGACATTGAATATAAGAATGAGATAAGGAATCAACAAAATGATATTGTTTTCTTAGTTAGTCCTTCCCAATGGACAATAGAAAGATATCTTATTGTCTGTAATTGTTCATAGCAATTTGGAAAATTGACTTATTGGAATAGCAACAATATTTTTCAATTAATTGGAATGAATTGAGTTTGTTTTAGTGAAGGAAAGAATAGTAATTTTAAAGTTTCATTTACGACGAACACATCTTGATGGTAGTTTCTCAAACTGTCCCTACGTGTCGTAAGATAAAAATTACCCACTTAATTATCCTATTTCTTAATGATTTATTAAAAACAAATTTAATATATATAAAAGATTCATCATTGAATTTGATATAGTTTGAAATTTGAAGATTTTTTATTGGGAGCAATAATGTGCACTTTTTCTCTTCTTTGTCATCATTAGATAACATACCCCGCTCACACTATAATGTGTCTATATTCAGTAAATCGTTAAATTGGGGTCAATATCGTAATTTGGCAAACAATTTATAAGTTTAACTCGCAATGAACATGTGTAACATCTGTAACAAATTTCAAGATGATGTAACAACGATTTCATCGTTAACTATCATAACTAAACGTTTTAACCTGATACGGTACGAACTAACAGACTAACGAATACACAAACAGGAAAATATGATCATCCGTTCTTACTATCGTAGGCATAACATAAGCACTTAAACAGACAAAAACGCAAATCGCTGAGATTTTTTTAGATTTATAAAAAGGGAAGCTGAAAGCTACATATAACATGTATAAGAGAGTAGAAAGAATGGCATTTAGATAAATAGATTAAGAATACACTTTAAAAATCAATGATGACATTTAGTAATGTTACTTTTAATATAACATTGAATAAATTCAAAGTATTTTCAAGTAAATAACCTTAGGATTTTTTTTTCAATAATGTTGATCATGTGGTATTGTATTGAGAGAGAATACCAAAATTTGCTATGATAGTGCAGTTTATCCCAATTGAATTATTTTTAATAAGCACACACCTCAATTTGAATGTTCGTTTATTCCATTGTCACCTTGCTTTTTCGCAATTAAACCCACAATTTTATTTATATATATTTTCATAGTCTGTTTCGGTTTTAGTAGTGAATTTACATTGATGGCCTTCTAGGTAATGTCTAAACTATTATACATTATTTTAATAAAAAAATAAACAAATAAAACTGAAAAAAGTTAGAAAACAGCTCACCATTCTTCTTTAAAATTTGTAAATTTTCATGATATACACATTTTGTCATTAGTAATATAAACAATGAATATTTTTCAAATTGCTTTATAAAATTGAATTAGATTTTTGATCTCTCAAATTGATTATTCTCATACTTGTATAAAAAAAAACACATTCAGCTAAATCAATCGGACAAAGAAACTGTCGGTCTGCAGGCCAATTCTTGAAAGAAGCTCTTCTTGTCTCTAAGAGCTTGTAGTCTTGGAATCTCACTTCATTATTTCCGAGGCTGGATTCTTGGTCTTCTCCTAAAACTTGCTGCTGTGACTCTGTGAAAGTTGGACTGATAATTGAGGTTGATTGTTGAGTTGTTGGAGGATAATTATCAGTATTACTACTTTCTGCAATTTAGGAAAAGAATGCTGACCTTGATTCGGGAATTGTTTGAATTGATACCATATGCAAATTAACAGTGTTTTAATAAGACCTATTTTATTTGCAAATAAACTCATCATAGATACTAGGATTAAAATGTTGTACGCCAGACGCACGTTTCGCTACAAAAAAATTGTATTTGAACTCAATGCTTTTCAACTTTGTACTTTATTTGGCCTTTTAACTTTTTTATTCTTGCTTTTCTGATGAGTCTTTTTAAGACGAAACGATTGTCTGGCGTACAAAAGTATTAGCCTGGTATCTTTGATGAGTTTTTTTATATAATCACACTACTATTCCAATTGCAATTTATATTCTCAGCGTCTCTGTTTAATTTAGACCGATTCATATCGATAACATTTAACTCTTTTATTCTCATTACAATTAACATAATGATTTACGTTCTTATGTTTACAGTTAAGAATAAAACAATGAATACTGGAAATCCATGAAACATTTATGTTAATCCAGAAAAGCACTTCTGACTCGCAAAATCGTAATTTTTCGTTCACTAGCCCTATGCTAATTCCACTACCGGTGGACTGTTAGTTTCATCAGTTCTGTACTGACATGATTTATAACACAATTTCCTAAGTTCTCCGTCATTCCGTTATTAAATTAAGAATTTATTAAAGAATATGCTAAGGCTAATTCGGAATGGTATGAATCTGCCGAGACATAATTAATGTTATGATTTAGAACGTTAAGAATATGTTGAGGAAAGTCAGACAATATATTCATACTTTTCAAAATGTTAAAAAAATATTCAGACAATTTCAGACTAAAATTGATCACTTCAGAATGTTATGACATTATAGTGGCATATTTTTGATAATCAAATAACATTGTATACTAGTGAGATAATCAGGGTTTGGCTTAACTTTTTGTCCTTTTTTTCATCACCTCTGAAACTTAAATAGTGATAAATCAAATCAAATACCAGATTTAGAAACAGTTTCTGTACTTGTATTATCTTCTTGCCTTTCAAATTTTGTAATCTGTAAAAATTATCACATTTCAAATGAGTTAACGGCCTACATATCATAACCGTCAATAACAGACATTGTTTGTTTCAATTAAATGAACATTTCTTGTGCATAAAATGTATGAAGCTTTATACTTATATCCGATCATGTCATTTTTCTTTTTCTTTGATATCTTTGCATTAGTCGTGAGTTTTATAAGTAGTATTTTTTGAACTTGTATGTCTTTTTATCACCTTTCTTTTCTGTCATTGCGTTGTCAGTTTCTTTTAACTCACGAGTTTGGCTTATCCCCTTGGCATCTTCCGCCTCTTTTTCATATGTAAATCTTTCTTTTGACTGGATATAAAAGGAAATCGCAAAAATCGCTTTTATTTTAAGTGTTTCTTATCTTAATTATAATTTCAAACAGTATAAATTAGTTACATAGTTTATGAATGCAATTCTATACAATATAGCTATATATATCGCCATTTAAAGCTCAATCCTCATGTTTCCCTGGTGCTTGTATATTGAAATCTTGATATCGCAACGGCGATTTCCAAATGAACTTTTAATATGATAGTCTTAAAAAGAAACTGTATGTAGACAGCTATTTTACGTTATTACGTATAACTACCGCTAGGTGTACAGCATCAACAAAACCTTTTCCTTTCTTCTGTTGTAGATATGGACATTTTCTTGACCAACGAGCATGCTCAAACCATGGACTGTCATCAGCTTCCCAGTCTCTTAAACCTTAGAAAGTAAAGATCTAATGGAAATATGTGCAATAGTTCATTATAAAAAAAAGATGTTTCGTAAATATTACATTAAACTGCAATAGCAAGGGATAAGCTTTTCTTTTAAACTAGTGGATTGTGCAATATATGTATGTTTTCGTTTATATATCATTGGTACAAGTAGTATTGTACACGCTTTGGTAGTTAACCTGGGGAACATTTCTTTTATGTATTAAAAACAGTATCATATTCTCGTATAATTTGACATGAAAAATTATTTCAAATACCATATATCCAGATAATTAGGCGTTTTCTTACAAATCAGTAAAGGGTCAATTTTGCTATGTCAAAGTTTGCTGGACTCTTCAGTTATTTATGAGTGAGTATTTGATATGACATGTTAATATCATAAATAATAAAGTACGGCAAATTTTTAAACCATCAAAGACAAATACCGTTCTGTTATTAAGTATAAAAATCAAATGCAAAAATCAGATTATATCAATTTATACTATTGTAATGATTTACCTTTATTGTACAATAGGGTGTATCAGAATTTTCCTTTAAGTAATTTTGCATTAATTTCGACTAATAAAGTAAACTGTAACTACACTTGATGTATTCACCCTGATGATAAAAATAATTGTAATTGCCTTTTAATGTCCCACCTACTATAGTGTAGGGGCATTGTGTTTTCCGGGATGGGCGTCTGTCCCGTATCAGGTTTAGGATTTAATTTAAGGAATTTTGTGATCACATTAACTTGATTACCCATATTTAATATGATGTGAACTGTTTAATATAAAGTATATGTCTTGTTGCAGTTTTGAACCACATTTCGTAATTCGCTAAAACATGCAAATAGATATTTCGAGCGGAGTATTGTGTTGTATGGATAATTATTCTTGAATCTCGTTAAATTTCATTAAATTTTATATTAAAAATTATATTTTCTGCTCCTAATCATTGCTCATAATGTTTTATTTTTGATCATGCAAAATCTTGTTATTATGTTCTTGATGAATTTAGTTGGTGCATTTAATTTTTGCACTTAAATCTAGGATGTCAAATTAACATTAATAACATTAATAAGACTTCAACCAGATTATCAAAATTTACTTCATAACTTAAGATTAAGTCCGGGACCATGAAAATGTAAATACATTGTACAAGTCTCGTAAAAAGCTATATGCAAGTCTCATAAAAAGCTATATACAAGTCTCATAAAAAGCAATATACGTGATAGTAACGGAAAGCAGTAGTATTTAATCTATACTTGATAATTTCACAAATGTGAATACATTTGTTGCTATACGAATACCATTTACGCGACCAATTATATTGCACCAAATGCACGTTTCGACAATCATTGTATTTTCAGTGATGATCGAGACCAAAACTGAATACAGCCTTGGAAGAGCTGATACATCCAAAGGAAAGGTACTAGGCAAATCTGGAAGAGTAATGTGAGTTTTGCTATTCCCTTTCAATCATAGGTCCTGACGTGTTGCAGTATTTATTATCCCTGGTTATCAATAGTTGATGGTTTGAACGTTTCTGTTCAGGGCGAATCAAAAATATATTTCGTCACACGGAATTTATTTAGTTTTATTTTCACTGCATTCCCCTATCTAAAATTTCAAAGATTTATATCAGCAAATTTCTTTAAAAACAGTATCCGTATTTTAAAGCTAATGCAGAAGTGATGCAATGTGATAACAATCTTACAAATATTTCTTTTATACAATTGAATACTTTTGCAAATTAAAAAAAGAAAAAAAAAAAAAAGGGAAAACTCATCATTAGCTCGCACCAATAACAAATAAGAAGTGGCAATCTTAAAGGTTATCAAATATCTATGATAAAAGATACTATAGATATGAATTAGGCATAGTATAGATACGTGATTGTTATTTAGGTGAAAGTTAGAGTCGGTGTATTACCATTACATTTGCGCGTAAACATCATTACGTTTGCGTGCAGCTTTTGATTACATTTGCGCGCATTTATTTTAAGGATAAACTTAGGTAAATGCAGGTAGATTATACATATTCATTTATCTAATGCGCCTCACAAAGGTAATGCGCCCGTTAAAGTAGGGTCAATTTTCCATGAATTTATTTCTCACTAGACCATTCCAAAAAGTTCTTTAAATTCATAGTATCACAGGTCAAGTGTGTATTTTAAGGTTCTTACCATATCTTAATTCATTTCAAAATCGAAAATCTTTCAATGTTGTGTTCTGTGTACTGTTTTATTTTGTTTTCGACTTGTGTGTTTGAATATCCAATTGGTATCTTTTGCCTCTCATTTTTCGTTTTTTCATGAACAGAAAAATATTTGATATTGACAAAAATATCAAACACTGATTTTTAAAATCTTTGCATTTTGTATCAAAACTTCCGCAACGCATTTATAACAAAATTCCTTGTTAACAATAACCGGTCTCTTTTTTTAAAGTTCGTCGTATAACGACATCTTTGTTAGTCAGTCAGTTATCAATACTAACCCCTTTGCTCCCAGCCAAAATCTCCACATTCGTGCAAAGAATGATATCATGAAACCACCGAAGCGTAAACTTCTCAAATGGTATCCACTATCTATTTCTTGTTAAACGTTTTTATAAGGATATGTATGTGATTTTAAAGTAAAATTGTTTCCTATTAACAGAGATTTCCAATAAAATGACTTTACTCGACATAACCGACCTAACTCAGCATATTTCGTCCTATTTCATTGACGCATGACGGAGGGGAGCATACACTGAATGCCATTTTTGCTCTTTGAACATGCATTGTTTGCTGATATAAACTTAATGTAAAAATCAACCACAACTTCTTTTTTTAATCTTGAAATATTTTGTTATTAAATTTTGAATGATTTTATTGACACAAATATTTTAATGGAATAAGTAAGCTAGCAACTTGTAATCAAATGCACCCATCGGTTCTTGTCATTTCACTTGACCCATATTTCAGTTCTTCTCAAAATATGAATTTTAAAAACTACCAAGTAAATATTTAGCATGAAAATATTAAAATTATGGAATCCGAAGCGAAAAGAAGGTTATCTTTTTTTGTTTGATTTATAAGTTTTAATGTTTAAAAGTACATTCCAACACACCCGAATAAAAAAGGTGTTACATTTTTATGATGAAAAACACAGAGTACTGATCTTAAAGTACCCCAAGGTACTGAAAGCTGATTCTTATACGTTACTAGTAAATTATCTGAGAATATTCAACGTATTTAGTTAAAAAATATTAAGAAGATGTGGTATGATTACCAATAAAAAATGAAGTGGATGTAAGCAATGATAGGCAAGCGTACGGCCTTCATCAATGAGAAAAATCCATACCAAATAGTTGACTATAAAAGGGTCCAACTTGAAAAATATGAAACAATTCAATTGAGAAAATTACCGGCCTGATTTATAACAAAACAATTTACGAATGACATGGGACATGCAGGTACATAAAGAATATATACATATCTAAAGTAATTATGAATATTAAATGTGTTTTCAGCCGTGTATTACCTTAACTGGTGATACTATGCATGGATAAGTCGTAGAGACTCAAATTTTTTTCTTTACTCAATCAATATGTGATAGTTTTAGAATCCACTTCTAATTGGATTAGTTAGAGTTGACTTAATCCAAAAACAACTATGCCAATATCAAGCCTTACTAATTAAATGTACATTTTAAAAAGAAAATTACTGTAAAGACTGAAGTGGTATTATAGTTGTCTTAAAAATGTAACAAGTATGTAAATTGGCATTCTCATCCACTTTTAATCAGAGATACTTTGGTACAGGACATTTTTTAGCCAATTATTATGTACTATAAATTGACAGCGGTCAATGTTGATATGCAGATTAGATATGCTACTAGTAATCAAGTACACCCTCCAAATTACAATTTATATAACGAATTGGTGTACACACTTATTTACATATATCATTATTATTTACAAAATTCTTTTTTTAATGTTAGTTGAAACTATTAAAATTTAAAGAAGTAGTACACGACCTGTATTATTTTTTTCTTAAATATACACATCCCTTTCTCGTACCTTTTCCCTGGGGGAAAATCGGGGATTATAAACAAACAGCAGAAGAAGAGAACGTTTGAAATGATGCTTAATAAAGTATGATATAATCCCAACTTTAACAGAGACAAATTTGAATTCGATATTTCTGAAATTGCTAGAAAAATCTCGGTCTAAAAATAAATACCTACGGAAATTAACTATTTTAAAACATTAAGAGACGAAAGGAAAAAGGGACACCAATCTGGTAACGACAAATAAAAGCATGTCAAATATTAAATAATAGAAGGTTCATTTGCAAAGTATATCGAAAAACAGTCATTGGCAAAACCATGAAAGACAACTCAAATCAATCGTATGATACGTAAAGATACGTGTATGTACGTGGTCTTATGACAGCAAAGTTTTGGCGGGAATCTCAATTTCTTTCGTTTTTCATCATCTTAGAAATACTTGATATTGATAAAATGTATCATGAATGGGTTTAATAGTTTAGGAATACTTAGTTTAAACTTGAGTGTCGCATTTAACAAAATTAATAGGTTAGCAATAACCGGTCCCGTTACGTGCGTACGTCGAGTTAGGTACGTATGTCATTTTATTGGAAATCTCTAATGCAAGATACTTGTACTTACGTGGTCCATGTTTTGTTTCATTTGAAGCATTAAAGATCTGTTTCATTTGTTTTTATGTTTTAGAGGGAAATTACTTTGAGAAATGAGACATGAAATATTTGATGCTACAGCATAATAAAATGGATAGATCAACCTACAGCTGTAACATTTCTTTGTATTGTTGAAGAAATTGTATTTATACAAATCATCAAGGGGTATATTTAAACATTACTGGAGTTTGGTTTTGAGTACTAGACAATATTCAAGTACACCTATGCATTTAATAATTCGCTTAAGCATATTTCTAAAGAAAAGAAAACAGTTGTAAAATGAAACACTACCTTTGTTACCTACATGATTGCATTGTAGAGTATTGCTTTTTTTTTTTTAAAAGTGCGTAAACTTCTTTTATCTTTAAGTTCTACTAATAGTATAGGATTCTTATTTGAATCGTTGGTCCTATAAAGATTGCTAAAGGTAGGTTTACATGTGAATGATTTAACAAATAAATATCAAGTATACTCACCAATACCACAGTGAAAACACCGCATACAGTCATCAATTTCTGGAATTGAGGAAAAAATATAACAGATTACACTATGTTGCGCTTTAAAATGACATTGAATGTAAAATATTAAATTTCGGTTCACCAAAATTATATTGTTTTCTTGGGAAGTTGTTCTCAATGTACGACTGATTATTTGCTGTCTGTAAATGTCCATAGATGTTCCAAAAGAATAAAGAGAGTTATTACTGACAAAAGAATTACGTCATAGATTTCATTTGAATCAGAGTTTTCAAACGTGTTGTATCTAGATTAAATTAGTTTATCAAAAGATTATCTAAAACCACAATAAGTTTGCAAAAAATTGGTGAACAGAATCATTATTTAAGGACAATAACTCCTTTAAGGTGTTTTCTGGAAAAGTTGATTTTAATGAAATTGAATTTAACTGGAAATTTCAGGTCAAATACCTTTAATATAGTGGTAGTCGTTAGTTTTTGTCTGTCGTATTTGTGTTTCGCTTATTTTTAAAAACCAGGCTAGCCCGTTTGTTTTCTCGTTTGAATTGTTTTACATTTGATCGTATATGGTCTTGTTTAGCTTATTATACAGGATTTGTTTGATCAATGTTGACAACTGTACGGTGGACTATATCTTTTTTTTACATTTCATTTGGTCTTTGGTGAATAGCTGACTCGTATGAATTATGTTACCGCATCTAATATTTTTTAATTTCCAAATACAAAAAACACAAAAAAACTCTTATTTCAAAATTGCTTATTTTCATACTTGAATAATAAAATCCAGATTTGGCGAATTCAGACAAGCTAAAAAAGGTCTGGTCTAGAGGCAAATTCTTGAAAGAAGCTCTTCTTTTCCAAAAAGGTATATACTCTGGGTATTTGATGTCTGCGATGTTTTTACTATTATTTTGTAGAATCAGATTGTTTAAAGGTTCTTGTTCTTCGTCATTTGGTATTCTTGGTTCCTGTTCTTCGCCATTTGGTATCGTAGGTTCTTGTTGTTCACCATTTGGTATTATTGGTTCTTGTTCTTCACCATTTGGTATCATTAGTTTGTGTTCTTCACCATTTGGTATTATTAGTTCGTGTTCTTCACCATTTGGTATTATTAGTTCTGGTTCTTCACCATTTGGTATTATTAGTTCGTGTTCTTCACCATTTGGTATTATTAGTTCGTGTTCTTCACCATTTAGTATTATTGGTTCTTGTCCTTCTGTTAATTCTTGCAGCGTCGACTCTGTCAAATTTGAACTGCTAATTGAGGGTGACGGTTGATTATTTAAAGGATTATCGGCACTATTACTTCCTTCTACAATTCATAAAAAACACTTGTGCAATGGTTGAATTGGTACTATATGGAGGAAGTAGTAAGATAAGTACGCCGGCAACTTCTTTTTTGTTAGAATTTATGATAAAGGAATTAGGGCTAGTGGTTAATCAAGTGCCAATTGTTTTTTAAAGGTATCAATTGCGCCAATTTACCGAAGTAATTGCGGCAATATACCTGTTCATATATGTATATATTAACCATACATATGATTAGTGATAAATTGTTGTAATCGGGAAAAAACCCCAAAACATAATTGAATAAATGGGACTATTTGGAAGCCAAAGGATGTACAAGTTCTAAGCACCTGAAGAACTATATAACCTAAACGAGTCTAAAAATAGACAAATTCATATAAGGTCAACTTTGCTTGAGGGAGTTGGGACCGAAGTTTCTTAATAATTTCTTAATTTATCAATCCAAAAATTTCAGAACAGTTTTTAACAAATCATGTAAGTAGTTCTTAACTTCGTCAATATAAACCGCTGGACCTATATCTGTTTTAAACGTAGAAGTCAAGTCATCAATTGTTTTTTATTTAAATACTTTGCACACGTGTATTTATTACTTTTGGTGCCAATGATACAAGTTTTGTTTTAGATAAGTTGCGCAAAGTAGCACTTGGGCACGATGGTGCAATAGGACGCATTTTTGGAGAAAAAGCATTTCTCTCACTGGAATAAGCTCAATATCCATATATTTAGCAGTTAGTCCAAAAAGTTTAAGGAAAAATATACTGTGAAGATCACACAATTATTATGTACAAATTACCACGGCCTGTTTTTAAAATTATTTCAAAAAAAGTAAAATATATTTAAGGAATGACTGTAATTTTTTCTGTACATGAAGAAATAACATAAAAAATGTGGTGCACACTGGAAAGCACGCTTAGTGGGTGATATCAAAGTTTGCACAACATTTTTTATGTTATTACGAAAAGACAAAAAATATTACAGTCATTCCTTATAATTTTATTCTAAATTTAAATTTTTAAGGAGCAAATTATGAAAAAAAACGTTGATGACGTCATGGTTACATGACAATTACATCCAAAATTAAATTATTAACGAAAAGTCACTTTTGTAAAAATATTTTATTTTCCTGTCTATCCTGAATAGACGTTACTTATAAATAGTTATAGAATGAGAATAATTTTATATTTAAAGTTCTCGGGGTAATGAACATAACAGCAAGATTTAGAGTTTGTATTTAAATGATTTTCTCTAAATCATGTTCTCAATAAGCAGCAAATATTAAGCTGTACAGAATTTCTTTTTAGTTTGATGCAAACTTCAGTGTTTTTCAAAATACACACACATCGAAATAGATTGATGTCAAAAGTCTTAGGTTACATGTTTTACCCCGCCACATTATGTATGTGCCTGTCCCAAGTCAGGGGCTTGTAATTCAGTGCTAGTCATTTGTTGCTGTATATCATATTTGTTTTTCTTTCATTATTTTGTACATAAATAAGGCCATAAGTTTTAGCGTTTGAATTGTTTTACATTAATTTTGTCATTTCGGAGCCTTTTATAGCTGATTTTTCAGTTTGGGCTTTGCTCATTGTTGAAGGCCGTACGATGGCTACAGTCTTAAATTCTGTGTCATTTGGTCTCTTGTAGAGAGTTGTATCATACCACATCTTCTTATTTTCATATTTAGCCTTTACATATTAATTCAGTTTCCCTATTCTAGTTATCCATTATAATCTTTTTTAAAGTCATAAGTTGCTTTCATTTTACAAATGGCCATTGTTATATTATAGTTCGTTTCTGTGTGTGTTACATTTTAATGTTGTGTTTTTTGTTGAGTCGTTGTTCTCCTCTAATATTTGATGCGTTTCCCTCAGTTTTAGTTTGTAACCCGGATTTGTTTTTATCTCTATCGATTTATGAGTTTCGAACAGCGGTATACTACTGTTGCCTTTATTTACGACATTCATAATACTAGATATATATTTACTGCTGATATCGCGGAGTTGGTTGAGATTTTTTGGTTCTTTTTTTTTATTTCAGTTGAATCCCAATATAGAATGGACTTGCTTTTAACAAGCTGGTAATCCTATTGCATCTGTTTACACATGCATGACATTTGTCAAAGTAAATACAATCTAAATTTCTTATCCAAGTATGTAAAATAAAAAGGGTGATTCTAGGAAAAGGTTTACATTTTGATATTTCAATTTTTGAAAAGTTCTCAAAAGGTTTGTAATGGCCCTGAAAATCCATAAAATATTGAACTTTTTTTTATTGTTCCGTAAGAAACCTCTGCTTTGAATTGTAACCTATTAAGGATAGTTTTCCGTTTTGGGGGAAAGTACATTATTCGATTACAGTTTCGTTAGTAATAGAATGATTTTTACCTTGAAACATTCTTCGATTTCAAAAGTGGTTTTAAACTGAAAACATAGCTTGTGTATTATGAAAAAATCTTACAAATTATCCTCTGAATAAAATGTATCCTAAACAAATTGAATTATGCGACAACAAGAAAAATGTGATCTTTCTAAATTTCTATAGTTTACATTGTTATTGCTTATCTGTTGCAATCTAACGTGCTTTCATTTCCAGTGTCAAAAGGAACTAACTTCTTTGTGATTTCGGGGTTGATTATTTTACAATTACTACAGATCAAATATTCAACATAAAAAATGAAGACATACAATGTGTTTTAACATCTTAAAACAAATTCTACGACTTTTGGATGAATGAAAATCTGATGAGCTTGTTTAAAATTCATTATTTATTCTCAAATGGAATATGAATGCCTTTAATAGACATTACTTTACAATGTATTAAAATATCTTCTCCCTGTTAATCGTGGTTCTAGAAACTATTTTTGGTCTGAAATAGCTACATGAAAACTTAATATTGCATCATTTATAACAAATAAGACATAATGGGTTATATAGTTGTGAATGATTGGTGTAAACCTTGATTTGAGTCGTTAAATTTACATATTGCAATTTATTGACTGAACTAAAAAAATGAAAACAACACGTTATAAATTTCATGCGTTCAAAGCGCTTTTCTTGATTTACCTTTATCAGGAACGCTCAAAGCCGAATATTTGAAAGCCAAGGATGTATAAAACGGAAACAACAGCAGAGATATATAACCAAAAGGACACAAAAAATGCCAAATTCATCGAAGGTGAACTTTACTTAAGGGGGTTGAAACCTTAGTTTCTTGATAATTTCAAAACTTATAAACGGACAAGTTTATAAAGGTTTGTTATAAACCATATCAGTACCGAATTTCCAACTACTGAACTGATGATACTCTCGGGGAAGAATAGTCTAACATCAGCGGTATCGCTCCCAGTGTTGTACAAAAATGAAAAAAAAAAAAAACATGTTATAAATTATATGCGTCCGAAGCGCTTTTCTGGATTTACCTTCATCAGGAACGCTCAAAGCCAGATATTTGAAAACTAGAGTGCAATATATAACCAAAAGGACCCAAAAAATGGCCAAATACATCGAAGGCCAACTTTCCCTGAGGAAGTTGAAACCAACAACAACAATGAGAAAAACCCATATCGTATAGTCGCTTATAAAAGGCCACGACATGAAAAATATGTAACAATTCAACTGATAAAAATAAGCATCCCTTTGTCTTCCTTTTTTTTTTTTTATGTCGGACAAAAGTCAACAAATGTAAGCAATTATGATAATGGAACAAGAAAACACACGTCTAAACGCCTCGCTTGCATTACTTATCATGATTGAATATATGTTGCAAGACTATAATATGAAGGTTTAATACAAGTATCAAATGAACTTAATATTATCTATGATCCATGTAAATAAGGATAAGGTCTGATGAGCTCTGATAGACAGACATGTACACCTTACAATAATACAATACACCAAATATATAGGTCAAGATCAGTTGAAACATGTCAATGACCTCAAAATGAGATTGCTAATAGTATCTTGGATATTGCCTTGACCACGAAAACTTATCCTTGATCCCTGAACCATGAAATAAGGTCGAGGTCAGTGGAACCCTGCATGACGGACATGTAGAACTTTTAAAGATTCTATAAAACGTAATAAGTCAGTATTTCACATGACAAAAAAAAAAACATTACATATTTGTCAATGGCCAAGGACAATGGACATATGACAAATTGATTGATTGGTTATTTAATTGTTTGGTGTTAAAGACGACTTTAAGCACTATCAGCTATTTTGTGGCGGTCAGTTGTTATTGGTGGAGGTTGCTTAAGTGCCCAGAGAAAACAGCAGGAAAACTGACAAACCTTGTTAAAAAACATTTGAGTCGAATGCACCTGCAACATGCAGGGTTCAAACTAACAACCTCAGCGTTGACATGTTAATGATACAGTAGTTAAACTACTAAGATTACTCAGCAACAGCCAACCTTATGACAGACGGAAACTGCGTAACATTAGGCATCTGCAATCAAGGTATGGAGCATCCAGGCCTTATACCTGTCTGAAATAAAGCGTTATGCTAATATTTTAGCTAGCCGTCGGATAGAAATCCCTTTGTCTCGCATTCTGAATAGTCGCAGGCGAGACAAGATTGGGAATTTGCCTAATTGAAACAGGATATGAATGCAATACACTACAAGTTAAACAAATTATGTTTTAATGTAAAGATGATTAAACAATACAGCTGCAAAAACAAGCAAAAGTGAACTTACGATTTTCCCTTGAATTTTGTTGACTCAAAGTCGTAACATGCTGCAAAAGGAATTTTAAAAATGATAAAAGTGGTGAATAAATACATATAGAAAACTTATTTCAAATGGGATAGCACATCTTCTTTTTTACGGAGATGTTGTTTACCGTGCCTGGAAGTTTAGAAACGATCCTTATAAAATTATCGATCCTTTAAATAAACTTATTCTAAAATGTTACCAATTCAACACTGTAATTAGATCTTTGAATATTGTTTTTATTGGTATTAATTTTGATTTTGTTATCAGTTAATTAAAAGCAAACTGAATATTATTATTTTATACATATGCACATCCATGGATCTACAATCTGTCGATACCTGTATCTTGGCATTGCACAAGGTCATGTTTTTCTCTGACTGTTTAAGACGTCTTTACACTAAATCCATTGGATGTTGGATGTGTACTGATTGATAATTTAGTCTTAGATGAATGAATTGTTTATTTGTTGTAAGTGGCTTTGAACTAGCTGTCAGTAACTGCGAGTACTCACAGATCTGTAATTAGTGTCTTTTTGTTGTTGGGATGTACAAGTACCCGGCCACGTCCACTCTGTTTTTGTTAGATGCATTTCTATTTGTATCCATCAGATGAGTAAAGCCTTTTTCAACTGATTTTTATAGTTCGTTCTTATGTTGTACTGTTACACCACTGTCCCAGGTGAGGGGGGTGGGGGGTGGTGATGGGATCCCGCTAATATGTATACCCCGCCACATTCTGTATGGATGTCCCTATTCCAAGTCAGGAGCCTGTAATTCAGTGGTTGTCGTTTGTTGCTGTGTTATACTTTTGTTTTTTCGTTCAATTTTTTTTGTACATAAATTAGGCCGTTAGTTTTCTCGTTTGAATTGTTTTACATTTGTCATTTCGGGACCTGTTATAGCTGACTATGCGTTATGGGCTTTGCTCATTGTTGAAGGCCGTACGGTGAACTATAGTTGTTAATTTCTCTGTCATTTGGTCTCTTGTGAAGAGTTGTCTCATTGGCAACCACATCACATCTTCTTTTTTATATATACAATGTAAATATAAGTAGAGATCTTTTTTTATTTGACGTGCACGTGTAAATGAATTGGACACAATAATATACAGTCAACTTTTACTAATAATTTTAAAAGTCTAACGGGTACAGTATATTATGTATGTCATGTTAAAAAAACAAAATGAAAGCACTTCTCTCAATTTAAAGTGGGGATCTGTTCTACGTTGTCTTTATCACCGTCATGATAATCTGTCCTATGACTGTTCTAAACAGTTTTACAATAGTTCTACCCTAGAAATGCTGTAATGTTGATCTGGTAGAGTCAGTTCTAGAGAAGTAATACACTGTTGAAAATTTGTTTTAGAATAGAACTGTCCAAATCTGTTCCAAAGTAGAACTTTCAAAATTTGTTCTAATATAAAAAAAAAAAAGAAAAAAGAAAGGATAAAAATTACTACATTCTTGGATGTGTGTTTTAGTTTTGTTATTTCCTAGTGTTCATAATTTGTTTTCAAACGAAATATTCTTATTTGTATATAACAATGCTTAATCACTGAGGAAATATACTTCTAATATTTATGTTATTATTATCAATATATTCCCATTAAACAGATCTAGGGATACTTTAGGGGTGTTTATTACAGGTAAAATATTTTAATCTAATCCAGGATTTTGAAAAGGGGAAGGGGACCTGATAAGTCAACGTTTGGAGTGATACTGGTAAGAAGTCTTTACAACATCATTATATTATGTAAGTAGTTTTCCAATTAATTTCATTTATGAATTTACTATAAAGGTAAAGTTTTGAACTGTTATTAATATTTGAAAAATTTTCAATAGTGATTTTGTCATACTTTTCTTTAAAAAGATATTTAATGGTTTCTTAAGTGAATTTATCATTAGTTAGGTTTATCAGAATCAACATATTCTTCTTCGTCAATGTTAAATTCTGTAAAAATGTGATTTGTATACCAAGTATAATTATATTCAATCTTCAGACATGGGCTTATTTACTTTGAAAGATTCTTTAACAAGAGGATTTATCTTCTGACAGTTAATTCTACAAAAATATAATAATGTTTATTTCTTTTTAAATGATTTAAGTGGGATAGTCCCTACTCAGAATTTGCAACTATATTACATGAGGTTTTTTTTTAATTCCAAAGACAGTTTTACAAAAATTATGATGCACTTTCTGAAAGATGATTCTATATGTCAAGGTTGAAACATCACAGTTAGTTCCATGTTTTTATTTTGGCTCTGTTTGTGGATCTAAAAATGGAGTAATGCTCTTCCTTAAACCAAATTCTACTATCATATAAATTACGTGTTTAATTAATGAATCACATAATTTACATGCTAAATCAATAAGGACATGATGCAAATTCGACTTATATTTTTTCAGTGAAAATACTGCTATAAGCACTTTCTTGGATAGTTCGTGTGTTAATCTGTTAAATATAACTTTATTATCAATAATGTTCCCAAAAAAATATACTCTTTAAACTCAGTTAACTGATTTTGTTTATAGAAAACAGAATTGACTCAAAAGAATTTTTAGAGTTAAAAATCTTAATTCTAGTTTTATTTGTATTAACAGTCTTATGCCATTTGTAGCAATATGTTTTTAGTTTGTTAAAAGCAGACTGTAAACCATTTTGTGATTCTGTGTGAGCCATGCTGGGGCTCAAACTATCCCCTTGTTTGACCCCTTAATTCATTTTAAAAATGTCAGAGTGTGTTTCAGTATTTATCTTTTTTCCTGAAGATTCACAACACTTATATATCTCATTAATTTCTTCAAATATTTTCTTTCCAAAATCATCCCTCTTTAATGTGTACATGAGACCAGCATGCCAAACATAGTCAAATGCACGAACCAAATCAACAAAGCAAGAGTAAATTTTGATCTTCTTTTTGTTAGATATTTTATTATCAAAGTTTTAGAATAAAAATGATATATGTTGTGCTATGATCATTTTTAAATTCAAATTTGTGAACTGATTTTTTTTCATAGGAAGTTACAACTCTAGAATTATTAACAGCACTAAAAAGTTTAGCAATACAATTTAAAGAAGTTCCTCTATAATTAATATCTAGCTTCTCTCCAGCTTTATGAATTAATATAGTAAAGGATTTTCCCTCATTGAATAAAAGTTCATTTGTTTCTTTTAATATACCGGTTTCGATTTAAGCTTTAAATTCTTTATCATAGTAATCTGTCTTTCCCTGAATCTTGAATTTATCAATATTTTCTGGGAAACCAGCTTGAAGCTCAATTTCATTATTAGTTTTCTCATATTTTACCAATATTGTTTAGGGTCTGTAAATATAAGGGCTGAAATCTTATAAAATATTTTCATATAAATTTTTGTTTATAGATTTTTCTTCCTTTTTATTAGTTTTTTTTACATTGTATACAGTGACCAAGAAAATTATTTCTTAAATTGAGACCATAAAGTAAAGTCAACATTACTACACCCACTGGGTTTAAAACAAGTCATATTCCCCAGCATATCGCCAATAAAGCGACCTTTCAATACTCTTAGCTGGGAGACAATACAGAGATCAATCAACTGCTCGCCTTGCGAGTAAAATAAATCATCTAAAAAGTATCTATGTTAACATCTTTAACATAATCTTCTCGAAGAGTATCTTGTAATGAACTTTGAATTTTATTTCAACCTTCTATAAAATCATGATGATTTATAATTCGATCTTCGGAAGATTGGTAAAGTGTCATGTGTGCTTGTTAACCAATAACGTTCCTGACATCAGTCTACCCTCTGTGTTAGCACCCAGAAGGGATAAAGCATTGCAAAGAATCAAGCAGAAAATAACCAATGTTTTGAAAGACCATCTTATGCAGATTGGTGGGAGGCGGTACAACGGCAACAATCTTGCGCCATGCAAAGTTTAGTCTATATTAAGGTATATACTATGAAAGTTAGTGCAATGGGCTTGCCCCGAGCACTTAATGTCGTTAGTATATACCTTTCCAATATCACCCGCGTTGTACATATTGTATCTGTCTAAGCGCAATAACTTAGATATATATTTATATTTCAGCCCTTAAAAATGTTTTTTCTTTAAAACTTAACATAAATGTCAGAGGGATGTGTAGGCTTGTGAGTACTTACAATGAAATTTTGCATATAATTGATTTTTCGTAAGGACATTACTCTTTAAAAAATTATTGATCGAATCTGATTTTCGAACTGGTCCGAGACATTGCTGATATAAATCTTTGATTTAAATTTCATAAACATCTGATAAGAACTGTACATATGAGAAGGCTCACAATGCAAATTTCTAAAGAATTTACATTTCTAAGGAACATAATTCCTGAAAAATAATTGAGCAGCGATGCATACTTTTCAACTTGTCCCAAACATTGCTGATATAAAACTTTGATATAAATTTCATACCATCTTTCAAAAAATGTAAGCTTGAGAGCGCTTACAATGTAATTTTCAATATAATAAATATTTCCAAGGGGCAAAACTCTTTTAAATAACTGGTCGGCACGGATTTTCGAACTTGTTTGAGACATTGCAGATATAAACCTTTGATGTGAAAATTCTGGCAAGAATTGTACGCATTACAGAGCTTATATTACCGGACAGATTGACATACTTACGAACGGACGCCCGGTATATCTATGTATCCAGTAACGCGTCGTGCGGGGAACAATAATTAGGTCTTTCCACTTTTCCGTGGAAAGACCTTTTGCTTTTGTTCTGATTTTTTTTTCTTCCGCTGTAATGTTAATTCAAAATATGTCGCTTACATTTTTGGTATATGATATCGAACAGTTTATACGCTTTTGAAACTGACACCGCTTAAACGAATATTTTATTTTGTAAGAGTTATCTCCCCGAACACTGTTTTTCATGTGTGTACAACTCCTTCGTAACCGTAAAAGATTACGACAAATTTATTTTACCAAATTGCTCGTTATATCATCAGGATGTTTTGATTAATTTTGACCGAAGCGGTAAAGAGATTCCATATGAGAGTTA